CATTTTGTTGATGTTACACAATGTATTAACAGAGAGAGCTTTCATTGTAAAATCAATGTTAACCAACATCAAAATTGTCCAGTATATTATATATATGTTACCAAATTATTATTAGTATTATTTTGTATAACTTTAATTTTAGTCAACTTATTTTAAACTAATAATGTCATCTCTTTAAATGATAAGTTAGAAATTTTATTGTATTTTAAATTATATATGTATTTTATATTCCTTTTTTTCTTCTGTCTATTTGTTCATCAAATTAATTGTTAGCTACCAGACAAGATTCCCTTTGCACCCACACATCATAGCTGTGTAAATAGGGATGTCCCAATAGCATAAAAGAATCAATACTGATATCATGAGTAATTTTAAAGTATCAATACCCGTACTGGTAGTCTTAAAGAATCAATACTGGCCAGTATTGGTATCAGATTTTGAAACTAAAAATCTTGTCAATTGTTGTTGTTCAGTCTGTTGCATCACCTTCCAGTTGTTTTTACTGCTGAGAAGGTACACCTATCCCTCTTTTTGCACAGTGGATACATTTCAAAAAATGTTGTGTAAAAAACATTGCATAAAAATGTACAGTACATGCATCCTATAGAAAAATGCTTGATAGAATCTGCAACTTCAATAGAATGAAAAAATAAGCAATTTATAAAAGAAACACAAGCTTCTTTAATTCTAACATTATTTATCATTAACATTGTTTGCACAAGAGAAGTGATAAATATTACTATAATTTCCTTTTTAATTATCCGTTTATTAACAACTATATATTTACGAATTTAACTTTTCAAGTCAAAAAAATTTTTTTATTCAGATGAGACGGAATCAAAATGGATTAATATTTGAAGGCAAATATTTGGAATTTGCACACTCCGTTTGTCCAAATTGTGCTAAAACACTATCAAAGCTTTATTTATTTTATGGATGTGACCTTAATAAAGATCAAGAATCAAAGATCACTGAAGATCAAAATAATAGCCAAAGTTTAGGTAATCATATGTACAATAAATTCAATCTAGCCACCACTAATGAAATTTACAATTGCTATAATGGTGTAAGAAGACTCTTAAATGTAAAATCTTAAATACTACATGTTATTCTAAAGTGGAGATATGTTTAATTTTTGTTATTGAATGTTTATTTTCCATCTTTCTTCATCGTCATGTACCCCCTTGTAACAGGCGACTGCCTATTATGTTCAATAAACTAAACTAAACTAAACTAAACATTGTTTGCACATAAATATAGTAAACACAAAGTAGCATAGGAAACATAAAATCAACATACAGTATTCTCTGATGTACATATAGTACTGTGCTGTGCTGTGCTTAAAAAAGATAACTAAAATCTTGATTTCAACAAAAAAGTAACTGTTTTAACAATAATACAATTTTAACAAAAAGTTAAATTAAAAAAATTTTCAAATAAACTGTTTTTCCCTGTGTAAGAATCAATTGCATAAAAAGAGAATTAATTTTCTTTTGTCAACTGTGTTATTTCAAAACTGTAAAAATAGACCACATAAAAAAGAGGGATAGAGGTACTGCACTCATTAGAATGAAGGCAGAGTCAACCCCAGAATAGCAATTAATATTTTTTTGCTTAGTCCAGAGAATTAAATCCTGGCTATCCAGACCAGAAGTTGATGCATCAGTCAGTACTTCAGTTTACACACGTAAGACGTCTTATGTACACAAAAGATGCCCCAGATCTACAATCCTGTTAATGGGCTCTGTGGGTACTACTAAAGTATATATAGATTAGGGGTGGATAAGAAGTCATTGGTGAAGAGGTAAAACAGTGTCTTTACATTGAAAGTTCTTCATTGTGTTCAAATTTTACAAATGTCAGTGCAACAAGTATATACAACTTGTAGCTCATTTTTAACATCACTGGTAGTTCAAGTTAATTAACAAACAAAAGTATAACAAAAGTTACTAAATATTTATTTATAAATAGCAGTCAGAACTTTAAGCATATATAGATTATGGAAATAAAATTTGATGTAATACATTTATTGATTTTTAGTCATTAATACATTTTATATAAGTTTAACTTAACCAAAACTAGTGTAAAATTTCATTTTGGTTTCTGATTCAGCTGCAAAATCTGGTTTTGTGCAGACCTTACCTGTCTGTGAAAAATGCAACAATACCAGATCTGATACCCAGGGAAAAGTATCGATACCCAGGGAAAAGTATCAATACTGGTATCAGTATCAGACCAAAAGTATCAAGTACAAAAAGTACTCAGTTTCAAAGAAAAGTATCTGTATCAGCAGTATCAGGATATCCCTATGTGTGAATGAGACACCATAGTTGTTAATGTTATCAAGTAGCATTCTAAAGAAATTCCACCTATTTTCCAAATTTTAGAGACCATCCCTTCAAAATTTTTAGCAATACAGATTAAAAATAATCAAGAGAAACAAATTAGAATTTAAAAAATTATCAGTTAATTACTGTTAACCTCACAACATTCGGAGGAAAAGACAAAGGGGGTGACTGTTGTTTCCCCTTTTCAACTAGTTTAAGTGTTAGTTATTGTCTTATTCACATCATGAGAATATACATAATTCATACTAAATAAGAGAAAAGAAGGACTAAAAATAACCAATCAAATTTATTTCTTATTACATCAACTTCCTCTGGAATAAAATCATAATTAATAAGAAAAAAAACGAATAAAACAAAAGGGAATGGATGAAAAAATAGGGAAAGAGGAGAGTTAACACATCATCAAGAAAGAGTAAACACGGCAGAAGAAAATCACACCAGAGATGAGTGTCAAATCTAGAGGAGATAGAATCAACACAAAGAAACATAGAGATTAAAGAAAAGAGGCAAGCATAGAAAAGAAACAGAAACTGAAGAGAAGAAAGATCCTTGAAGAAAAGACAGCAACTCTTTTCATGTTATGTTGTGAGTTGCAAATTTCAGATTATTTCCTTGCTAGGTACACCTTAGGCTTATTTGGCTAAATTTGGAGGATAGGCTTTGTTTATGCAAATGTAAATATAATGTTATCCTATATTTTACATTATTATAAAAATTGCAGAGTAATCCCAATAATAAAAATAATTGGGTCTATCAGTTATCTAATAATCTAAATAATTATGATATTTTTATACGGACATTATTGGAAAAAATAAATTTAAAGATTATCTTTTTACTCAATTGATTCAAACTTTATTTGAAACTAAAAATCATAACTGGTAAACAGTTATATTGAATTTTCCTAATATAACAATTTATATTTTTTATTTCCCAACATAAGGTTCCTAATATAATTATTAATTTTTAAATTTGCCTTAAATTCTTAAATTTTTTTACACAGATTAAATAGAACAAGTCAATTTATCATCATTTTGGGTACTTATGACCTAGTAAATGATGTCATAGCTATAATAATAAGTTGTCAAAGATACATATATTCTGTTTATGTAAAAATGGCCATGAATTTTAAATTATTATAATTTGACAGATATTAAAAACTATTAAAGAAGAAAAATTAATGTAAATTATTTTCATAAAATTAATTTGATGATAATACTTAAATTGTTTAATATATTTCAAAAAGAAATTGCATAAGTTTAATTTTAAATAATGCCTGGTTGTTGGAAAAACTTATGACAGTCAAGATAATTATCAATGTATTGATTATTATTGATCAAATGTTAGATCACTATGTATTCATATAATTTATTTGGTCTTAAAAATTTTTATGTAAACCTTTTGTAACAAGAATGTATTCTTATCATAATATCACAATAAAGATGGAATAAAATGGAATGAATTTCAATAATCATATTTGTTGAAAACAATGATTTGTATATATATATATGAAATCAAATAGTTACAAAAGAAAATTAAGATAAAACAAAACAAAGATAGAGAAGAATAATATCTAAAAAAGTGATGTAATTTATAAAATATGTTTGAGATTCTTAATCAATTAAGTATATGATATATTTATTTCACTAATAGCACTTGTTTGGAATTTTATAGTTATTTACAGTAGACAAATAACAAGGGGTTAAATTAGACAAATAGTAAAGCTTTAAAGCTTTACTATTTGTATACTTCTGCTCATAACCCGAGTTATCTCAGACTGTGCACAAGGATGCATGGTCCATAGCCCAAGATATCTCAGGCATGGACTTTAAGGGGCCTCAAAAAAGAGCCTTGATTTATAACTTTTCCAAAAATGTATGGATCAGCATATATTCATCTTTATCTATCACCTATGCAAATTTCATGAATTATTTTTGCCGCAAAAACTTTTTATGGCAATTTATTAATTAGCTAATTAATTGCACTATTGGTTTTTTATGAGAGTTTTTTTTTATCAAATTAATAAAAACGTTCTAAACTTGTATTTCATGGATTTGACATCTGTAAAGTTTTTTTAAATGCTATTGGATGTTTTTTATGACATCAGCAGTTTTTTGTTTTTTATTCAGTAGAATTTTTTTCCATAACTTTTTTTCAGTCCCCCATATTTCAATAGCATAAAAATTGAAAATTTTGTGTTATATTTGAATAGATGCAGTAAGTTAGTTCCCCTCCTGCTTTAAACCAATATTACCCTGAGGCGTACATGAGTACTACCCAGGAAAGCTGACACTAGCTGTTCTCAAGGTCAACCAGTTTGTAAACAATGTAGCCTGCACATGTGAAATATCACACCTTATTAAATGAAAGAATAACAATAGGTGCAGCTATATTTATCAAATAAAAGCATTTATTTTAAATTATTTTTATTTCTTTATATACTTTTTTTGTAAAAACACTTTTTGGGGGTTTTATTTCGCAGGAATTATTTCCTGGCAATTTTTTTGGATGTCAGATTCGCGTTTAAGTGGAAATAATTATTTAATATAAAAAATCAATTACTTATGGATTTCCAAGTGACATTCTGCATGGAATAAATGTATGCAAGTGGTTAAATAAGATTACTACTTTAAATAAGATTTTGATAAAACATACCTTGCAACATGATCCATTAATCGAGTTTGAAGTAGAAGATTTTTACTAGGTAATAAATTTTCACAAATGTTGTTTTGACTGCTTCGAACTGCAACACCATTGCCAACACATAATGAGCATAGAACATCCAAAACCTATAAAATAAACAAATAAAAATTCAAATATCATTTAATTTGATTTGATTTCATTGAATTTTAAATTTTTTTATATCAAACTTAATTAAAATGAAAAGTTTTGTGGAAATTATTTTCTCTTTATTTTTTAACTGTTCTTTAATTTTTCAAAATTTTTGTTGAATTTATAGTTTGTAATGTTATCACTTTTGATAGTTAATAATATTCTCATGTTTTTGAAAAAAAAAAAAATCATTACTACCCATTACTTTTAGCAATGTATATTTTTCATTTTAGCATTTATGTTACTTTTTTTCGGATGGATACCAAGTAATTTAGATCATTATAATGCATATCATAAAATACCTGAAAAGCTGAGGTTGATTAGTCCTTTAATTAAGAGATTTATGATAGCATTAGATATGATAAAAAAACTAAACTACTACTATTTCTGTATAATCATATAATATTTAAATATGCTATCCTACAAATATCTCTCTTTCTAGGTTGTGACATTATTATGTTTTTTGACAAGTTAAACTATGTATGGAATAAGACTCATTATTTTAATCTGGACTGAGTTATATAAATAAATTAACTGAACTTACAAGTTAAAATTACTTTGAACCAATTTAAAAAACTTTATAAGGATAATATACTTCTCTAATATATCTACTAAGGAAGCTCCTCAAATATATAATATAGGTATCCCTCATATAACACAATAGTTACATTCCAAAAAATACCATGTTATGCAAATTTGTGCTATATGAAGCAAAGGACTAATGTTATATTCCAGAAGTTAACAAAAGTATACTATTCTTTTTTGTTACTAAGAGACATATGTTTATTAAAGCAATAGATAATTTATTTCCAATCAATAATTAACCAACAATCACAATTAAAAGTGCTGTATTATGCATTAATATTAATTTTAGTTAAATGAGGGTGTTTTCTTTTTATAAAGTATCATCATCATCTCATCTTTTTTGCTGATCTTGATCAAAAGTATCAGCGACATTTTCATATTTACTATTTTTATTATAAAAAATTTTTATGGATGGTAAAATAAAAACATATTATTAAATGAAAATTTGTTCTAGAGGGTCATGTTTGTTCACTCAAGTACTGAGTGATGTTTTTCCAGAATATGTGTTGAAATATCGAATTGTTCAAGTACTGAAGTACTGCCATATTTCATTCATCGTTTTTTAAATAATTGCTTACCTACAGTTTTAAAAAAAAATGTTAATAACACTTACCTAAAAATGTTTAATTTTTGTATTTAGTAAAGTATTTATTTAATCTTAAGAGCTAAAGTCTGAAAGCAACAATAAAGACACCTGGTTGATAGAAAAGTTAGGACAAAGAAGAATTGCACTATCAGTTTTCATTAAAGTAAATCTTACAAAAAGCACAAAACAATTTGAAAATTTCAATATTCTAAAATCCATGGGCAAATTTGAGACAACATGCATGCTTACTTGAATAAAAAAAATATTGAAAAAAAAGTTTACTCTTAAAAATTGTGAAATTTAGTATAGAGGATTTCCAAAACCTCTATACTATCCAAAACATGTTAGAGCAAAACTGGAAGTCATGTTGTTCAGGAGATATCCTTAATTTTCAAACCATGTTGTAGAAGTACTGTGTTCTATGAGGGCTACCTGTACATACAAAATTGCTTTTCATGGAATAAACTTTTCAAACATGCTTCAAAATCTCAAATTCTTTTAAAATATACTACTCACACATTCATCTTCAAGAATTAACTAAAGAAATAAAAATTGGACAGATTACCAAATATCAATCAAGTGCCATACCAGGACAAATAATAAACACACATGATAAAGGAATGTCTTATTCATTGGTGGTTACTTCTTGCATGACATACAGGAAAATTAACTTTCGTTACAAAAGTATCATCACCACAATTACTATGATAAGACAAAAACCAAGGATATGTTTATAAAGTCAAACAAGTTAAACAAACTATTAACAAGCCAGTCATAAAGTACTAATTCTGCTCAGTGTACATACTCAATGCTGATAGCATTTTAAATGAAACATTAATGAAATTCTTAAAAGAAATAATCAGTTTACATTATGAAGAAAATGGCATCTGGTAATACTGGTGTTTCTACATCTACTCAAGTGTGTAATTTCTGTATTAAAAGATTAAATGTTACAAATAACTGCCCACTTTAAGTAATCTAAGAAAAATATCTCAGATAAAAATACACTAATAACATTTATAACTTTGATTTTACAAAAAGTTATTTTGTTGTAAACAAATCAGTCAAAATATTCAGCAAAAGAATAACAATGATATCATTATAAATGAGAATAATATCATTGTCATTGATAATTGTATCATGTATCATTGATAACTCATTCAACTTTTCAAACATACCCCAATATAAGAGAAAAAGTGTTTACTAACTTTTTGAAAATTTTCATTCATCAAAAACAAGTTTTGGTTTGATTAAAGTATAATTTTTATGATATTTTACATTGTTCCTGAAAACTGGTTTATAAGTGTAGTAATTATAGATCAAACTGAAATAGCTCAAAAAGCTTAAATATTTGACTTACTCTTATTAAAATTATATTCATAAAATTAATTAACATGTTATGAGCTTTAGTATAAAATTAGTAATTTAATTAGAAAAATGTCTTCTAATTAATTATCAATTATAATATATTAACCTATTAATTTAAAAATAATTCATGAATATCAGAAATAATCTTATCTTTCCTTGTACTAATAAATATTAACAATTTTAATTACTTTTACAAAAGATATTCTTAAAACATTTTTAATTTAGATTTTTGTTCAATGTTAGTTAACTGGCTTTTAAAAATAATGATCGTTTGGCCAAGAAAAATGAATGCCATTTACATACTGAATTAAATAAAATCTCTCTCAACAGTAAACTTATTTGTTATATATTATTATTTACCACTCCAAACATTTTATACCTTTGGATCCCTTCCATGCTTCTCTAATAAGGAAATAATAACTTTAATGTGTTCTTCCTTCATCATATTTAGAGCTTCAGGACTGTCAATTAAAACACAATGCAATACATCCAACATGCCTATAAAAATAACAATTCACTTTTAAATTTGTTGTAAAAATAATAAAAGTTCTAAAATAAACTTTGAGATATACTATAAGATAAACTATTTTAATAAAATATTTATCATGTACAGTTATAAAAATTAATTAAATTTAAAAAATCTAGTTTATATAATTTTGAAAGTTTAATAATTTATCTACACATTTTATACATTTAAGATAAATAATTTTTATTAATAATCATTAATAAATTACCTGTGCCTTCAGTAGCCTGTTGGCTGCCTAATCTGCTAAATAACCAATCCAATCTATGAGATTGTGCAAATTGTGCACAGTTAGTATGATTTCCTTTAATTATTGCAGCTATAATTCAAAAAATATATATTACATAAACATGCATTGAAATTTCAATATATTTTTTATAGTAATAATTTGTCAACAGATTATATGAAACTTAAAGATATTAACTGTTTTATGTTAGAAAAATTTTTAAATTAATTGTTGAAATTGTTAATATCAGAATCCAACATCATTGAAGAACAATTAAATTTGAAAAATTAAATTGTTCTTCAATGATGTTGGATTCTGATAATGGATATTTGAATTCAAAAATATCTTACTAATTTATTTAGTTATATAAAGCTTATTTATTTATTTTAAAAACTAGGAAAATAATAAGAAAAATTCTATATAAATATAAATGTTGTTTGAAAATACAAGTTTTAATTTTATAAATATTTTAAATACCTAATAATTGATAAAGATATCCTGATATTGCATCCCAATTTTGACCAGCTTCTTCACCCATAAATGAGACTAAATATCCCTGATTTGTGATAACATTAATCTTGTCAATTGTTTCCAAAATCAGGTTCAGAATACCCTGAAAAACAAAAAGTATTATTATAATTAATTATAAAACGGCTGAATACAATTAGATTATTGTGTACCACATCAGAATAAAAATAAGTTTTATGTACCAAATAGTTTAAATTAGAAGTTAAAATAGTTTAAATTAAATTTAAAGACAATAAAAATAAAACTAAAAGTTTTGTAAACTTGAAGATGGACTATTGAATAGGTTGAAAATGTTAGTTTATATCAAAATAAATCATCTCAGCAAATTAAGGGGCTTGGTGAGGATTGTGTATTAAAAATAAAACCTTCACAAAATTTGAGATAAATTTTCTAGAATATGAAAAAGATAATTTTGTAAAAAAAAATTTAGTTCCAAAAATCTCTATATGAAAATGTTGTGTTATCATTAACAAAAGGAGTGTCATCCAAATAATCTTACCATAATGTTTATTATTCTTAAACAAATATAAAACAAACCTTATTAAAATATAAAATTAATACAGTAATACCTCGATCTACGCGAACCCGGAGTTATGCGAATTTCAAATCTCGTCGATTCGTCTTTTGTTTGAGCGCCATACAACTTTTGATTACTCACTCCCCCACACTATTGTTCAGCTTACATGTTCGGACGTGTAGTGCAGAATCGACACACAGCTACAATTTATTACGTGTTATTTATTTCTGTGTTTGTTATATCTACGGAGACTTGAGAGACTCTGTGTGGTGATTTCTTGTAACCATGAACAAATCAAAAGACGAGATAAGATTAACGAGAACATTTATTAGCTTACATATATCTGACTTGGATTTTACACAAATTGCGAAATTATACCCCGACTTACGTGAATTCGACTTACACGGTTACCGCTCAGTCCCACCTATCGCGTAAGTTCGGGGTATTACTGTATTCTATTCTATGTTATATTGTTGTATAAACATAAACAAATAAATAAAGAATTGCTATTTTTCTACAATGAACTTCAAAATCTGTATCAAAGTTTCATCTATAACATTAGATCTACATTCAGCCAATCATATAAGTCTAACATCACACTCCAGAAAACTGGAAGTTTTACCACTATTTGTCTCTCACTTCAAAGATTTAATTGAGGATTTCAAGTACTTACAACACACTTTGATTTAAAACTTTGTCATAATTTGCATATATATTTATTAAATGTTTTCCTAATTATTTTGTGTTTGTAATTGTTTGAGATAAAATTAATTATTGTTTAAGATTATAATAGTGATGTATCAAGTTTCATTACAGGGCAGTTCTATTTTACCTTCTAAAATTTACTTTTTTAATTTCTACATTCTATAATTTATTTTTTCCTAAATATCCATCTCTTATGTAGTCAATCAACATGATTAATTTTAAATTATTTTTTACTTTATAAACATAAAAGCTGTCCATAAATTACATGATACAAATGTGAGTGGGTATACAGATAGTCATTATAATGCATCACAAAGAGTGGGATGTTTACAAAAGCATTATATAATTCTAGGATCTCAGCCCTCAATAACAATAATTCATTTTTGTTTCCAAAGAGTTGCATAGCAAACTCTAGTGTTTATGTCATTGCTTTGTACATAATTAATAAAATAATGTAATGTTCAATACCCTATGCTATCTATATATTAGTCTTTAGTACAATTAGAGGAATCTATCTAGAATATGCATAGTATAATTTTGGAGATAAATACTAGATGCATTATAGAATGTTGTAGTAGCAGAATGGTAGTTGAAATATATAAATTATTTTATACAATTTATGGATGATTCTATATACTGATTCCTAAAGATTTTTTTAATTATTTAACTATAACAGAACAGCAAGTTCTGACAAATGCTATCAACATGTGAATGATACTGCTAAGTTTTCAGCAAGTTTTAGGACAGTAACTGTATATATGTACTTTTGTTTGTGAGAATCTTAAAACATATTTTTTTCCTCATGTAATAAAATCAACAAAGCAGGCTACATTAGACAAATATCTAAATGATTAAATACTGTATAAGTTTAATTCACTGTAATATAATAGAACATCGTTAAATAAATAAGAATTATTGAAGAAAAGCTATAATATTTTCATTTCTGCTTAAGAAGTTTCCCACTTAAGAAATTTTTAAGTTGGTCTCTAAAAAACTTAACAAAGTTCTACTATGAATTCAAATGATTTGAGAATATATATCTAAACCAGAATATATATTCTTAACCAAGTTCTACTATATATATATATATATATATATAGTAGAACTTGGTTAAGAAGTTTTTTACATATTTAGAAGTTTTATGAATTTTATATATATACTGTATATTCCTGAAATTATACCATCAGTTCTTTTGTGAATTATAAAATATCTGAAAGCCAATGGATTTATTGATCAGATCTTAAAGACTATCATTAATAAATACTTTAACAGCAACTTCTCTATTCCATTAAATTTAGATAATAAATATAAAAGTAAATGGCAACACTAATCAACTAGGAAACTAAGATATTTTTGGAATGCTTTATTTTATGATGTTTTTATTCAAACAGTTGACATGAAATCTCAATAGTATTGCATCTGAATACAGTACATACATACATACATACATACATACATACATACATACGTACATACCCTCATGCTCATAATCTGAAAAGGATTGGCAGCAGGCAAAAGAAGACTACAATCTTTCTAAATATAGTGAAAAATTCAAAGAGATTAAAAATTTGAGTATTTTGGAATAATTTGAATTTTCGGTATCTTTAATTCAAAATTATTAAACATGGATGTTTGAGAGTAAAAACATTCTGGTATACGCTCTATAGCTTTAACCAAACAATTGCTGGATTACATTAGGCTATAATTACTAATTAAATGTCAAGTAATTTGGCTTGGCAGTAGGTGTTAGGTGCCATCTCTTGGCTAAATTATTCAACATTTAATTAGTAATTAGTAGCATTAATATAGCCTGATGTAATCTGGCAACCATTTGGTTTTAATCTAAACTTTATAGATATTTATATTAATATATACACACTATGTCAAGGTAGAGCAACAGCCAGCTGAGTGCCATAATGGAAGTTACAGGCTGTGGGCATGAAAACCATCCCCAGTCAGCACAGTGAGTAACCAGTTTGTTTATATCTAAATTAATAGTTCGGTAAGCAAAGATTAGATGGAGGTCCAGTCAGCATAACTGGCAACATGCCCATGCAACAAGCTGGAGTTGTGAGTTCAAGTCTCACTTCAAGCAGATTCTTTTCTTCCAAAACCTTCTAAATTAATTATTAAAATATTAATTTAATTTTAATATTTAATTAGCCAAATTCTAGCCTGATCATTCAGGTGATTGTTGGTTGTGTCTGTATATACTCATTGGGAATTAAGATGCTTATTATATATACATATAATTATTAAATTTATCAAGAGATGGCTAACACCTACTTCTAAGCCAAATTACTCAATATTAAATTAGAAATTAGTAGCATTAATGTAGACTGATATAATCTGGTAATCATTTGGCTTTAATACAACATCGATTTTACAGATGTTCATATTATTATAGTTTTAGCTCCAATAAAGTAGTTATGATAACTTTGTTTAAATTAACTTTGAATTCAAATGATTTGAGAATATATATCTAAACTGACAAAACATTGTTAAAACATTAATAAAATTATTGGGTTGTTCAGAAAGTAATTTTTTTTTTCCGTGGGGAAAAACACAATATTTTTATAATAAATAAATATTTTATTGAATTATATAGCGACCATTTTGGTCAAATACCTGTTGTCATTGTTTCTGGTAGTAGCTTGATTTCACATTCATAAAAGTTTTGATCGTTGCTTACAAAAAAACTAATCCAAGTGATTTTTGACATTGTCATTTCAAGTAAATGTCTTACAGTTAAAAAAAATTTGTATAGACCAGAACAAGTAATAATCTGTGTGTGCTCGATCTGGCGAATATGGTTGGTGTGATAGCATGTCCCATCTAAGTTATAACAGTTTCTGACGAGTTATCAAACTTATGTGAAAGTTGACAATATCATGGTAAAACACTACACCTGTTTTGTTGATCAATTCTGGCTGCCTTTTCTGTTTGATGATATTACTCAATTTGTTTACTCCAGTGGTTCTTAACCTTTTAGTGATGAGGGATCATTTATCAAAATTTTTGTCTTGCCGTGGACCACGAGTTGTTTGGCTGTAATATAGATTATTATAAGGTTGTTCTATAAATTAAACATATATAAAATTATTCGGAACCAAGAGTATTATTATTTGCGAAAATGTTACATTAATTTTATTATTTTAGTGCGATTTTTGTGACTGCATACTGTTTACCAACTGCTGAATTCTTGGTTCAGTACTACTCAAACCCAAACGCATGTCGGCACTGGCATCCAACTGATATCGATGTTTATTTTTAATTATCAAAAGCACTGAGAACCCTTATCGCATAAATATGAGGTTGAAAATAAAGTTAGGTACCGTAAAGCAATTTCTCGAATTTTAGGGAAAGCAATAGCTTTTTGGTTCCAAAAATCTTCAAGATTAATTCCTGTCTCGAATGTATCCTTGCAGTTACTATCGTGTTGCATTTCAATTAACTGTTCTTATATTTCATCCGGCACCTCAGAAATGTTGACTATGAAAAGGATTGCGACTCAGTTTCCGAATACCTTTGTCCTTGCAGTCAGGAAAATAGCGATTGAATTCATTTTTCAAGTTTTGCAAATGGAATGTAATATTCTTTTGTATTTGTCCTTTAATCTCAGCGCACTGTCTGTCAATAATTGGGTTTAATGTATCAAACGCAGAAAAATTCTCTCTTTTGACTTTGCTGATCCATGGGTCGATTTTAGCGATAAATGCACTGATTTTATCTTCAAATGCAAATATATTGCTAGTGCCTTCCAATTTCATATTTCCTGACCCTTGAAGTTGAAGGTTCAATTTATTTAGTTGTGCAAAAAGTCCATTAAATAAGCAAAATGTATTTGAAATTTGAACTGACAGAACTCAGACAGCAACTCTTTGTTTTCGTTATTAGTTAAGAATAATTTTACTTCTTCTCTCAGTTCATACAACCCCGACAGCATATTTCCTTTGAAAGCCATCGCACTTCGGTGTGAAAAAGTAGCGTTTCATGTTCAGAGTTCATATCACTGCATAATTTTTTGAAGAGACGAGTATTAAGTGCACTCCTTTTAATGAAGTTCACTACTTTTATAGCCGTTTTCATCGTAATAGCAAAGTATTCCAAGAAAGTTTTAGCAGCCAATGCTTGAATCATCGTCATTTATTTAATAATTTTAGGATGACTTCACGAACCACTTAGGCTGCTTTCAGGGACCACCAGTGGTCCATGGACCACAGGTTAAGAACCACTGGTTTACTCGATGGCAACACACTTTCGAATCAATTGTTAAATTGTCTGGTAAAAGCTCCAAAAAAAATTTCCTTAAAATCCCACCAAAGAGAGCATTTCTCTTTAAGAACATGTGGAACCCATATATCAAGCTTTGAAACAAAACCAATTTGTTTCAAGTAATTGTAAACAGTTCAATTTGACAAATTTAATCTCTTAGTGATTTCACGTGTTTTTATTTGGCAGTTAATTTCAATCAGTACCTTCATTTTGTTTTCATTGGTTTCAACTGGCCATCCAGAACATGGTACATCTTCAATATTGAAATTGCCAGAACAAAATTCTGTAAACCAGTTTTGGCACTGTCTTTCTCTCAATACATCATCTCCATACATGTACCACAATTTTTTTCTTGCTTGAACAGCATTTTGATTTTTTGGTAATAAAAAAGCAAAATATGTCAATCTTCCGATCTTCCATGTTTCATGGGACACAAAAAATAAACAATTGCACAAAATAAAACAAAATTTTTTAAAAATAAGCCTTAAAATACTAGCTGTCAAAATATATAATGATAATGCAGTTTAAAATGAAAATGGTGGGAAAAATACGACTAATCTGTCTAGTGGTAAAAAAAAACGAAATTACTTTCCAAACAACCCAATATTATTAGTTGATATTATTTTTAATAAATNAAAATCATCAAAGGCATATTCAAATTATATATTTCACAACCCTAGTAAAATTTAATGTGGTATTATATTACATTGTAGTTTGTTATAAATAATTAATTATGTATTTGGAATCAATTCAAACTTACAATACTTCTTAGTACTACATAAGTTTGAATTGATTGCAAATACATAATTAATAAAACTGTTATCAGTTTTATTAATTATGTATTAATTATGTACTGATAATAAATAAAACTGATAGCAGTTTTAGAATCTGCTATCAGTTTAGAATAACAAATCAAATACAATACTATATATTTAACGTGATTTATATATTTATATTCATTGATGTCAGTTTTACTTATATATATATATATACATTTCATTTTAAACTATTTTTTTTTTATTTAAAAGTATTTGAATTATATAAATATAGAAAAAAATATTCATAATGCATATAAAATATTGTAATGAAAACATAAATTTAAAATATATTATTATTTTACTTTTGTCCTTGCACTTCAGTCCATGAAGCTGGAATAGTAAGACATTCATCTCCACCATGAAAAAATCTAAGCACTTCACCACCAAATACATATCCTATATTATATTTTAAAAAACTGTTAAACCTTTGTAATTCTTAATTAAAACTACATTTCTAATTTAATACTAATACAGTAGACCCCCTATAACTCGGGTTCATATAATGCGGATTCGTATATCGCGGCGAAAAAACTGCGACCGTATTCATATAAAGATGCTAAAAGAGACTCGTAAAATGCGATAAAACATCATCGCCGACTCATGTTGCGACAGGATTGTCTAATCTGGACCAATAGTGGACGAGCAGCCGAACTACTTACACACTACAAAGAGTTTAGGCGTGTAAGTTGAGTTTACTATCGTCTGTACAGTATATAAATTAGGTACTGTAAGTCTAATACAGTACTGTAATTTTATACATTTCTTGTGAAAAAAAACATTTCTTATTCAACAGCCATAAAAATTATTTCTATTAATGATGTCTAAAACGTTCAACAAATTTTTTGCAGAAAAATAACTTATCAGTAAACGCAGCCGCCATTTGGTGCACTGCTCCATGAAGAAAACAAGCTTAAACAATGGCATCATCAAATGGTGCACACTCGGTAAGTAATCCTACAATTTTTTGTTTATAGCATAGTTTATACGGATTATTCCCAAAAAATTACACGTGTTTTGGAAATGTTGAGTCAAATTAGTCTGGAATCGATTAATTTTATGTAAGAAAACCTTTCAAACAGCCGTAGTCCATAAACTGCACACGTGCCAAGCTGTGATTGGCTCATGTATTTGAGGATTCCTACAATGCAAAATTCTTATAAAGCAAAACGTATCTACCGCGTTATGAAGGGTCGACTGTATTTTAAAAATATATACAATTGCCATTGTAATTATATTATCTCTACAAAATCAAAATTTTAACATAAGATATTAAAAAAAATCCAGCAATGAGTTGCTTAACTTTCCCAGCAACAACATTTAAAACTGCATGCAGTGCCATCTGTTATATTTTATTTAAAACTTTTTATATAATTAATTATAATAAAATGGCATAAAGCTTAATTTTAAGTGTAGAGATAAGTTTTATAAAATTGTNATAAAATTAATTAACATGTTATGAGCTTTAGTATCGCAGGAATTATTTCCTGGCAATTTTTTTGGATGTCAGATTCGCGTTTAAGTGGAAATAATTATTTAATATAAAAAATCAATTACTTATGGATTTCCAAGTGACATTCTGCATGGAATAAATGTATGCAAGTGGTTAAATAAGATTACTACTTTAAATAAGATTTTGATAAAACATACCTTGCAACATGATCCATTAATCGAGTTTGAAGTAGAAGATTTTTACTAGGTAATAAATTTTCACAAATGTTGTTTTGACTGCTTCGAACTGCAACACCATTGCCAACACATAATGAGCATAGAACATCCAAAACCTATAAAATAAACAAATAAAAATTCAAATATCATTTAATTTGATTTGATTTCATTGAATTTTAAATTTTTTTATATCAAACTTAATTAAAATGAAAAGTTTTGTGGAAATTATTTTCTCTTTATTTTTTAACTGTTCTTTAATTTTTCAAAATTTTTGTTGAATTTATAGTTTGTAATGTTATCACTTTTGATAGTTAATAATATTCTCATGTTTTTGAAAAAAAAAAAAATCATTACTACCCATTACTTTTAGCAATGTATATTTTTCATTTTAGCATTTATGTTACTTTTTTCGGATGGATACCAAGTAATTTAGATCATTATAATGCATATCATAAAATACCTGAAAAGCTGAGGTTGATTAGTCCTTTAATTAAGAGATTTATGATAGCATTAGATATGATAAAAAAACTAAACTACTACTATTTCTGTATAATCATATAATATTTAAATATGCTATCCTACAAATATCTCTCTTTCTAGGTTGTGACATTATTATGTTTTTTGACAAGTTAAACTATGTATGGAATAAGACTCATTATTTTAATCTGGACTGAGTTATATAAATAAATTAACTGAACTTACAAGTTAAAATTACTTTGAACCAATTTAAAAAACTTTATAAGGATAATATACTTCTCTAATATATCTACTAAGGAAGCTCCTCAAATATATAATATAGGTATCCCTCATATAACACAATAGTTACATTCCAAAAAATACCATGTTATGCAAATTTGTGCTATATGAAGCAAAGGACTAATGTTATATTCCAGAAGTTAACAAAAGTATACTATTCTTTTTTGTTACTAAGAGACATATGTTTATTAAAGCAATAGATAATTTATTTCCAATCAATAATTAACCAACAATCACAATTAAAAGTGCTGTATTATGCATTAATATTAATTTTAGTTAAATGAGGGTGTTTTCTTTTTATAAAGTATCATCATCATCTCATCTTTTTTGCTGATCTTGATCAAAAGTATCAGCGACATTTTCATATTTACTATTTTTATTATANTAATAGAATAGGAAAATAAAAAGAAAGGATTGTCTATAATAAATATTCTTATAGACAATCAACAATCCTTTCTTTTTGTTTTCCTATTTTATTATTATGGGTACATTCATAAAGTCAAACAAGAATGATGTCATCGTTATTCTTACTTTCATGAGACATTTCAACCGATTCGTTTATAACAAAATGGCTCTCTCTAAAATTGGATTTATGAATGTTGCTAGTCCAGTCTTATCTGAAGTATTTTTCTTAGATTGCTTCAAATGGATAGTTATTTGTATCATTTCACCTTTTAATCCACAATTTAAACATTCAAGTAAATTTAGAAACATCAATTCTTCACGAAGTAAACTAACTCTTTCTTTCATAAATTTCATTAGAGTTTCATTTGAAACGTCAACATCAAACATGTGCAATGATGAGTGAATATAATTTGTACTTTATGATCAACTTAATTAAAGTGTTTAATTTCTTCGACTTTACAAATGAAACTTACATCTTTTATTTTAATTCTTTATTTCATAGTTTTTAAAATACTTTTTCAGTAATATATAATAATTTTTTCATGTTTGTTCAATTTATGAGAATCTGAAGGAAGTAATTAGCGTAATTAATTAAACTAGTATGCAGTTAACAGAGAAGTGGAAAACCCCCACTTCCTTTTTCTCACCCACTCTGATATATAAAACCAATCAAATATTGGTCTAAGTCAACAATTACTAGGATGTTTGGACTTATGTTACGATCTTAGTCAAGACTGTCAATTATTAACGATGGGAAACTTATCAAATGGCGGAAATTATGAGATAAGACGAGTCATCGTAATGGATAGAAATTATCTATAATTCATCAAAACATCCAATTCTTGCCTGTATCAGCAAAACCTGGACCTAACTCAAACTTAGAACACATTAAATCTAAGTCACCTGAGTCAATTCTCATGTGCAATGTGTAAAGGAGTTGCATCTGATCTTTGGGGTGGACATACTAGAAAGGCCATAGACAATGATGTTTGGTTTGCCACGTTCCCGGCTCCATAAAGGATTGCCAACAAATATACCTCCCTGGACATAGAAGATATCCTCATTCTCTCACAGAGGTATTAACCTTGAACAGTTTCTGTAAACTCTCTCTTGGTCCATTAGTTGTTAAGTAGTTATAGAGTGTAACCTCCTCCTATGTATTTAACCTCTTTTTGTCCCATATTAAATTTGTTGTTTTGTTTAACTGGTGTTGATATCAGTTATTACTCAAAGAATAGTCTCCCTATCAGCTTATCTGCGACCTCCCCACTCGATTATTCTAAGACCCTCCTATTAAGCCATCCAGTGACAAAGAGAGGGATTTTACCAACCCAACGCCACTCAAGGGTTAGGGATTCCCCCATCTGTGGAATATCTCACAAATTATTCCAAAACTATTGTGTTTAATAATGCAAATTAAACTGTAAATTATATGTTGAAAAAAATTTTTGATGATAAAAAAGAAAATATTAGTATTAGCTAATATAATCTTATAAATTTACTTACAAGTAAGCACACATATAGGCTGCTGAGAACATTAGTGACATAACTACAAAATTATTGATTTTGAGTTATGTGCACCATAAGATTCCCATCATCTGTAGTAAAATGTGTCATATCATTATTCCACCACAAAATATGCAAAACTTATTCAAATTTTTATGCTTTTGTGACATAACTAAACTTTTAAAAAATTATGAGAGAAAAGAAAACTTAATATGCTAGATCATCATCAAGTAGGTGGTGTTTTAGCTGCAAACAAAAAAAAACATTCAATTAGATAACTCAAATAGTTGAGTAGGAATAGGAAAAGTAGGAAAGACTGAAGTTTTGACAAAAAGTATGACAGCAATTATCTCAAAATGGCATTTTCAGAGTTATGTCACTAATATTCTCAGCAGGCAATATATAAATATTTCTCATAAATCAGACATTAAATAAGTTTAATAAAATCAAATACAGTGGTACCTTGTACTTTAAATGACTAATGTTGAATGCTAAATTTGAGAAAAATTTTCCTTGTAGTTCAAACAATGCTTCAAAGTTTAAATTGCGTGCAGAATGGAAAAATGCACTGAAAGTGTAAATAAGTGCACTTTGAGTGCAGTTATTGAATGTGTAGATATGACAGATTTCTTCATACAAGTAAAATATATAAAAATATTTTATATTCAAATAAAATGTTGTGTAGCCAAGACATTGCTCACTTGGATTTGCATTATGCTTGTATGTTTATGCTCAGTGCTTTTTTACACTTCATTTTTGCTGTGTTTGATTATAGATACTATACTGTGTGTTATTCATCAATTTTTAACAACTTCCTCGTGAAATTATTCATCGGCAGCCTTTGGGTGCACTGTACTGTACATTATTATCCTTTAGTTCAAAATTTTCCAAACGAAACTTTTTGAACTACATTTGATATATTAAAAAGCTTCTTGCCTGTATTATTTAATTACAAAAAACTATTTAGTTGCATATAACTAATGAACAGTTTTATTACACACCAAGCTGGGTGTGTAATAAGCCTGTTCATAAGTATATATTAGTCATATGTAACTAAGTAGTTTTTTGTAATTACATTTGATATGTTTGAAGTTTAAGAGCATCTTCCTTATACACAATACAAACTTTATTTACTGTGTTGTACAGTTGTTTGTACAGTGTTATATCCTTTCCAAAACTCATAAAGAATAATGTGTCTTATATGCTTTTTTATCAGAATATATTACAACTTGATTTTATTCAAACAAAATGTGAAGTAAAAAGTTTAAAATAAACTTCTATATAAAAAATAAAATCTCACATTAGTAATAATGTGTTAAATTTCACAACTGTTATAATTAAATTGCATGTCTATGTTATGTAACAACAGCAATCAAAAATATATAAAATCTGTCTTTTCAAGCCACTATAACCTTTACTTATTAACCATGGCATCCAAGAAATGTGTGAAAGTAATAAAGTCTAAGAGGAAGGTTATAATATCAATGATTGAGGTGAAAAAGAAAGTTAACACTTGTGGCAGATCTAGCAATCATTTTTAACATACTGAAGTGTGACCAGTTAATGCAATTTTCATTTTATTATACAGTAGTTACATATTTCATTTATTGTTTTTATATTTTAATTTATAAGGCATTTAATTGTTAATTTTTATCTTAAGGTATATATATTTGTTGTTTTAAGTTTATCAAATTGGGTATTCTTTAGGGTCTAGAAATGGTTAATTTACTTCCATTATTTCTAATGGAAAAACTGATTTGGACTTTGAACAATTCACAGTTTGAATGGACGCCTGGAATGAATTAAATTTGAAATACAAAACATCACTGTAGTAAATTTTCAATATTTGTTCTAAATTTCAAAAGATTCTTAAGGAGATCTTATTGATTCAAATGATGATGATAAAATTTAATGTTTACATTAAACCTTTGCCATTTTTACACCAACAAAATGAAATTATTTTGATTGTACTTTCTTAATTATTTTCAAGTTAAAATTTGATTTAAAAAATATATTTTTTTCCTCTTGATGTATCAAAGAATTTATATTATGTCAATATTTTAAAGTTTGTATGTTTATATCATTTACAATTTCATGTACTTTATACAAAATATACCTACCAATATCTTCTTCTGGTTGAGCAAAATATTCAATTAGATCTTCCAAACATCGAATCATTTCTTCGCAATCAAGATCTTTGAAAACTTCTGCTCTTGGTCCATCATTTTGCAGAGAATCTAAGCCTCTGATAAAATAAAAGTATAATTTAAGAATACAAATTATTAACAACATTCATTGCATATATTTTTACATTATTATTAATTTAATTAACCTTAACGTCTGGACCCAAGTTAACTCGGGCAGGTTACATAGCGTTACACAACAAACTGTCTTTTGGTCTGAAAAAATTTTATTTTGGATGTTTTGGATGTTACTCTGAAAAAATTTTATTTTTGGATGTTTTGGATGTTACTCTGAAAAAATTTTATTTTTGGATGTTTTTTAATTACTCTGAATATATTTTATTTTTGGATGTTTTTTAATTCAAAAAATTTTACCTGCGCGAAAAAATTTTATCGCGATTTTAATCAACTTTTAATGACGCACGATTAACACTTAATTGTTTTTTATGGAATTTATATAAATAGAAAAACTGTATATGTATGCATCCGGGTTTTTTTGTTTCTTAAATCATCGTCTCCGGGCGAGACTAAGTTCTGAGGTGGCAACCCTATATACACCGTGTCTGTTGAAAAGTTTTTAGCATTTCTGAAGATGCAGGAAAGTCTTTGCAACATTTCCCTGTCAAAGGGAAATGTTGCAAAGACTTTCTCATTGTTTTCTCAATGTTGCAAAGACTTTCTCATTCTCAAACCCTGTCTCATTTCCTAACAATCGTGCAATGGTTTGCCTTCATTGGAAGTAGTGGAAGCACCGCTTCCCTTGTATTTTCTAAAAAATAAATACATATTGCATGATTATTTTCATATTTTAACGTATTTTGGATTAATTAAAATTAATATTTTATTATAACCGCATTATGTATCTTATTACAAATTTCTATACTATACGTGAAAAAAAACGATAAGATTGCTATTGTATACTCGAATATCAGTGGCAGAATGGAAGCCCTGGGCCGTGTTCAGTAACGCAGAATTCTTGTTAAGTNATAAAAAATTTTTATGGATGGTAAAATAAAAACATATTATTAAATGAAAATTTGTTCTAGAGGGTCATGTTTGTTCACTCAAGTACTGAGTGATGTTTTTCCAGAATATGTGTTGAAATATCGAATTGTTCAAGTACTGAAGTACTGCCATATTTCATTCATCGTTTTTTAAATAATTGCTTACCTACAGTTTTAAAAAAAAATGTTAATAACACTTACCTAAAAATGTTTAATTTTTGTATTTAGTAAAGTATTTATTTAATCTTAAGAGCTAAAGTCTGAAAGCAACAATAAAGACACCTGGTTGATAGAAAAGTTAGGACAAAGAAGAATTGCACTATCAGTTTTCATTAAAGTAAATCTTACAAAAAGCACAAAACAATTTGAAAATTTCAATATTCTAAAATCCATGGGCAAATTTGAGACAACATGCATGCTTACTTGAATAAAAAAAATATTGAAAAAAAAGTTTACTCTTAAAAATTGTGAAATTTAGTATAGAGGATTTCCAAAACCTCTATACTATCCAAAACATGTTAGAGCAAAACTGGAAGTCATGTTGTTCAGGAGATATCCTTAATTTTCAAACCATGTTGTAGAAGTACTGTGTTCTATGAGGGCTACCTGTACATACAAAATTGCTTTTCATGGAATAAACTTTTCAAACATGCTTCAAAATCTCAAATTCTTTTAAAATATACTACTCACACATTCATCTTCAAGAATTAACTAAAGAAATAAAAATTGGACAGATTACCAAATATCAATCAAGTGCCATACCAGGACAAATAATAAACACACATGATAAAGGAATGTCTTATTCATTGGTGGTTACTTCTTGCATGACATACAGGAAAATTAACTTTCGTTACAAAAGTATCATCACCACAATTACTATGATAAGACAAAAACCAAGGATATGTTTATAAAGTCAAACAAGTTAAACAAACTATTAACAAGCCAGTCATAAAGTACTAATTCTGCTCAGTGTACATACTCAATGCTGATAGCATTTTAAATGAAACATTAATGAAATTCTTAAAAGAAATAATCAGTTTACATTATGAAGAAAATGGCATCTGGTAATACTGGTGTTTCTACATCTACTCAAGTGTGTAATTTCTGTATTAAAAGATTAAATGTTACAAATAACTGCCCACTTTAAGTAATCTAAGAAAAATATCTCAGATAAAAATACACTAATAACATTTATAACTTTGATTTTACAAAAAGTTATTTTGTTGTAAACAAATCAGTCAAAATATTCAGCAAAAGAATAACAATGATATCATTATAAATGAGAATAATATCATTGTCATTGATAATTGTATCATGTATCATTGATAACTCATTCAACTTTTCAAACATACCCCAATATAAGAGAAAAAGTGTTTACTAACTTTTTGAAAATTTTCATTCATCAAAAACAAGTTTTGGTTTGATTAAAGTATAATTTTTATGATATTTTACATTGTTCCTGAAAACTGGTTTATAAGTGTAGTAATTATAGATCAAACTGAAATAGCTCAAAAAGCTTAAATATTTGACTTACTCTTATTAAAATTATATTCATAAAATTAATTAACATGTTATGAGCTTTAGTATAAAATTAGTAATTTAATTAGAAAAATGTCTTCTAATTAATTATCAATTATAATATATTAACCTATTAATTTAAAAATAATTCATGAATATCAGAAATAATCTTATCTTTCCTTGTACTAATAAATATTAACAATTTTAATTACTTTTACAAAAGATATTCTTAAAACATTTTTAATTTAGATTTTTGTTCAATGTTAGTTAACTGGCTTTTAAAAATAATGATCGTTTGGCCAAGAAAAATGAATGCCATTTACATACTGAATTAAATAAAATCTCTCTCAACAGTAAACTTATTTGTTATATATTATTATTTACCACTCCAAACATTTTATACCTTTGGATCCCTTCCATGCTTCTCTAATAAGGAAATAATAACTTTAATGTGTTCTTCCTTCATCATATTTAGAGCTTCAGGACTGTCAATTAAAACACAATGCAATACATCCAACATGCCTATAAAAATAACAATTCACTTTTAAATTTGTTGTAAAAATAATAAAAGTTCTAAAATAAACTTTGAGATATACTATAAGATAAACTATTTTAATAAAATATTTATCATGTACAGTTATAAAAATTAATTAAATTTAAAAAATCTAGTTTATATAATTTTGAAAGTTTAATAATTTATCTACACATTTTATACATTTAAGATAAATAATTTTTATTAATAATCATTAATAAATTACCTGTGCCTTCAGTAGCCTGTTGGCTGCCTAATCTGCTAAATAACCAATCCAATCTATGAGATTGTGCAAATTGTGCACAGTTAGTATGATTTCCTTTAATTATTGCAGCTATAATTCAAAAAATATATATTACATAAACATGCATTGAAATTTCAATATATTTTTTATAGTAATAATTTGTCAACAGATTATATGAAACTTAAAGATATTAACTGTTTTATGTTAGAAAAATTTTTAAATTAATTGTTGAAATTGTTAATATCAGAATCCAACATCATTGAAGAACAATTAAATTTGAAAAATTAAATTGTTCTTCAATGATGTTGGATTCTGATAATGGATATTTGAATTCAAAAATATCTTACTAATTTATTTAGTTATATAAAGCTTATTTATTTATTTTAAAAACTAGGAAAATAATAAGAAAAATTCTATATAAATATAAATGTTGTTTGAAAATACAAGTTTTAATTTTATAAATATTTTAAATACCTAATAATTGATAAAGATATCCTGATATTGCATCCCAATTTTGACCAGCTTCTTCACCCATAAATGAGACTAAATATCCCTGATTTGTGATAACATTAATCTTGTCAATTGTTTCCAAAATCAGGTTCAGAATACCCTGAAAAACAAAAAGTATTATTATAATTAATTATAAAACGGCTGAATACAATTAGATTATTGTGTACCACATCAGAATAAAAATAAGTTTTATGTACCAAATAGTTTAAATTAGAAGTTAAAATAGTTTAAATTAAATTTAAAGACAATAAAAATAAAACTAAAAGTTTTGTAAACTTGAAGATGGACTATTGAATAGGTTGAAAATGTTAGTTTATATCAAAATAAATCATCTCAGCAAATTAAGGGGCTTGGTGAGGATTGTGTATTAAAAATAAAACCTTCACAAAATTTGAGATAAATTTTCTAGAATATGAAAAAGATAATTTTGTAAAAAAAAATTTAGTTCCAAAAATCTCTATATGAAAATGTTGTGTTATCATTAACAAAAGGAGTGTCATCCAAATAATCTTACCATAATGTTTATTATTCTTAAACAAATATAAAACAAACCTTATTAAAATATAAAATTAATACAGTAATACCTCGATCTACGCGAACCCGGAGTTATGCGAATTTCAAATCTCGTCGATTCGTCTTTTGTTTGAGCGCCATACAACTTTTGATTACTCACTCCCCCACACTATTGTTCAGCTTACATGTTCGGACGTGTAGTGCAGAATCGACACACAGCTACAATTTATTACGTGTTATTTATTTCTGTGTTTGTTATATCTACGGAGACTTGAGAGACTCTGTGTGGTGATTTCTTGTAACCATGAACAAATCAAAAGACGAGATAAGATTAACGAGAACATTTATTAGCTTACATATATCTGACTTGGATTTTACACAAATTGCGAAATTATACCCCGACTTACGTGAATTCGACTTACACGGTTACCGCTCAGTCCCACCTATCGCGTAAGTTCGGGGTATTACTGTATTCTATTCTATGTTATATTGTTGTATAAACATAAACAAATAAATAAAGAATTGCTATTTTTCTACAATGAACTTCAAAATCTGTATCAAAGTTTCATCTATAACATTAGATCTACATTCAGCCAATCATATAAGTCTAACATCACACTCCAGAAAACTGGAAGTTTTACCACTATTTGTCTCTCACTTCAAAGATTTAATTGAGGATTTCAAGTACTTACAACACACTTTGATTTAAAACTTTGTCATAATTTGCATATATATTTATTAAATGTTTTCCTAATTATTTTGTGTTTGTAATTGTTTGAGATAAAATTAATTATTGTTTAAGATTATAATAGTGATGTATCAAGTTTCATTACAGGGCAGTTCTATTTTACCTTCTAAAATTTACTTTTTTAATTTCTACATTCTATAATTTATTTTTTCCTAAATATCCATCTCTTATGTAGTCAATCAACATGATTAATTTTAAATTATTTTTTACTTTATAAACATAAAAGCTGTCCATAAATTACATGATACAAATGTGAGTGGGTATACAGATAGTCATTATAATGCATCACAAAGAGTGGGATGTTTACAAAAGCATTATATAATTCTAGGATCTCAGCCCTCAATAACAATAATTCATTTTTGTTTCCAAAGAGTTGCATAGCAAACTCTAGTGTTTATGTCATTGCTTTGTACATAATTAATAAAATAATGTAATGTTCAATACCCTATGCTATCTATATATTAGTCTTTAGTACAATTAGAGGAATCTATCTAGAATATGCATAGTATAATTTTGGAGATAAATACTAGATGCATTATAGAATGTTGTAGTAGCAGAATGGTAGTTGAAATATATAAATTATTTTATACAATTTATGGATGATTCTATATACTGATTCCTAAAGATTTTTTTAATTATTTAACTATAACAGAACAGCAAGTTCTGACAAATGCTATCAACATGTGAATGATACTGCTAAGTTTTCAGCAAGTTTTAGGACAGTAACTGTATATATGTACTTTTGTTTGTGAGAATCTTAAAACATATTTTTTTCCTCATGTAATAAAATCAACAAAGCAGGCTACATTAGACAAATATCTAAATGATTAAATACTGTATAAGTTTAATTCACTGTAATATAATAGAACATCGTTAAATAAATAAGAATTATTGAAGAAAAGCTATAATATTTTCATTTCTGCTTAAGAAGTTTCCCACTTAAGAAATTTTTAAGTTGGTCTCTAAAAAACTTAACAAAGTTCTACTATGAATTCAAATGATTTGAGAATATATATCTAAACCAGAATATATATTCTTAACCAAGTTCTACTATATATATATATATATATATATAGTAGAACTTGGTTAAGAATATATATTCTGGTTTAGATATATATTCTCAAATCATTTGAATTCATAGTAGAACTTTGTTAAGTTTTTTAGAGACCAACTTAAAAATTTCTTAAGTGGGAAACTTCTTAAGCAGAAATGAAAATATTATAGCTTTTCTTCAATAATTCTTATTTATTTAACGATGTTCTATTATATTACAGTGAATTAAACTTATACAGTATTTAATCATTTAGATATTTGTCTAATGTAGCCTGCTTTGTTGATTTTATTACATGAGGAAAAAAATATGTTTTAAGATTCTCACAAACAAAAGTACATATATACAGTTACTGTCCTAAAACTTGCTGAAAACTTAGCAGTATCATTCACATGTTGATAGCATTTGTCAGAACTTGCTGTTCTGTTATAGTTAAATAATTAAAAAAATCTTTAGGAATCAGTATATAGAATCATCCATAAATTGTATAAAATAATTTATATATTTCAACTACCATTCTGCTACTACAACATTCTATAATGCATCTAGTATTTATCTCCAAAATTATACTATGCATATTCTAGATAGATTCCTCTAATTGTACTAAAGACTAATATATAGATAGCATAGGGTATTGAACATTACATTATTTTATTAATTATGTACAAAGCAATGACATAAACACTAGAGTTTGCTATGCAACTCTTTGGAAACAAAAATGAATTATTGTTATTGAGGGCTGAGATCCTAGAATTATATAATGCTTTTGTAAACATCCCACTCTTTGTGATGCATTATAATGACTATCTGTATACCCACTCACATTTGTATCATGTAATTTATGGACAGCTTTTATGTTTATAAAGTAAAAAATAATTTAAAATTAATCATGTTGATTGACTACATAAGAGATGGATATTTAGGAAAAAATAAATTATAGAATGTAGAAATTAAAAAAGTAAATTTTAGAAGGTAAAATAGAACTGCCCTGTAATGAAACTTGATACATCACTATTATAATCTTAAACAATAATTAATTTTATCTCAAACAATTACAAACACAAAATAATTAGGAAAACATTTAATAAATATATATGCAAATTATGACAAAGTTTTAAATCAAAGTGTGTTGTAAGTACTTGAAATCCTCAATTAAATCTTTGAAGTGAGAGACAAATAGTGGTAAAACTTCCAGTTTTCTGGAGTGTGATGTTAGACTTATATGATTGGCTGAATGTAGATCTAATGTTATAGATGAAACTTTGATACAGATTTTGAAGTTCATTGTAGAAAAATAGCAATTCTTTATTTATTTGTTTATGTTTATACAACAATATAACATAGAATAGAATACAGTAATACCCCGAACTTACGCGATAGGTGGGACTGAGCGGTAACCGTGTAAGTCGAATTCACGTAAGTCGGGGTATAATTTCGCAATTTGTGTAAAATCCAAGTCAGATATATGTAAGCTAATAAATGTTCTCGTTAATCTTATCTCGTCTTTTGATTTGTTCATGGTTACAAGAAATCACCACACAGAGTCTCTCAAGTCTCCGTAGATATAACAAACACAGAAATAAATANATCATCGTCATTTATTTAATAATTTTAGGATGACTTCACGAACCACTTAGGCTGCTTTCAGGGACCACCAGTGGTCCATGGACCACAGGTTAAGAACCACTGGTTTACTCGATGGCAACACACTTTCGAATCAATTGTTAAATTGTCTGGTAAAAGCTCCAAAAAAAATTTCCTTAAAATCCCACCAAAGAGAGCATTTCTCTTTAAGAACATGTGGAACCCATATATCAAGCTTTGAAACAAAACCAATTTGTTTCAAGTAATTGTAAACAGTTCAATTTGACAAATTTAATCTCTTAGTGATTTCACGTGTTTTTATTTGGCAGTTAATTTCAATCAGTACCTTCATTTTGTTTTCATTGGTTTCAACTGGCCATCCAGAACATGGTACATCTTCAATATTGAAATTGCCAGAACAAAATTCTGTAAACCAGTTTTGGCACTGTCTTTCTCTCAATACATCATCTCCATACATGTACCACAATTTTTTTCTTGCTTGAACAGCATTTTGATTTTTTGGTAATAAAAAAGCAAAATATGTCAATCTTCCGATCTTCCATGTTTCATGGGACACAAAAAATAAACAATTGCACAAAATAAAACAAAATTTTTTAAAAATAAGCCTTAAAATACTAGCTGTCAAAATATATAATGATAATGCAGTTTAAAATGAAAATGGTGGGAAAAATACGACTAATCTGTCTAGTGGTAAAAAAAAACGAAATTACTTTCCAAACAACCCAATATTATTAGTTGATATTATTTTTAATAAATATTTTGAACAGAATTTCTTTAAATTATTCTAATGAAACATTTCAGATCTACATTTTAAAAATTAAAAAAACTTCTAAACTAAACTCACCTCTTCTTGAAAAAGATCTTGTCTATTTCTTAAAGCTTTCAATTTTGTTTGTTTTTCTTCATGCTCTGAATATGAATAATAAACTTTTTAAATAAAAAAATTCAACTACTTTATTAAAATGCACAAGATTGAATCATATCAAAAATTTATCTATAATCCCTAAAAAAATTATATATAATAATAAAATTATATAAACATACTTGAATTTACTAAATAATACTTGGAAAATAAAGAAAATTATTATATTAAATTAAATCAATGCTGTTTTATCCTTAAATAACAACACAATAAAATTTCACAAACAGAAATAAATCAATTAAATATTTAGAAAGTTTTACTATAAAATAAGTTTTTTTTTTATTCTTTCTGCCCTATTCCACTAAAAACATCTTTTTCCCAAATCTACTTCAAGTTTGGCCAGGCCTCCAATGAGACAGCTGGGTGTTGACAGATGGGACCCAACTTGTCTGGACCAGGCCACCTATGAAAAATTCCTGGGGAGTTTCTCACCCCAAACTTGACCCTGGTTCCCTGAGCAGTAAGCTGACATTTAACCACCTCAGTGATCTAGTGGTTGAGCTTCTGACTTTGCAACTGCCTTGAAGAATTCACAAAACTTTGATTTCTTTTGCATTTTTAATTCTATCTACTTTTTTTCTTTTAAACCTTTATAAAATAAACAAACAAACATAACATGCATACTGATATTTTGTGAGTAGTGTTGCCAGATTTGTGAAAAATCATTTCATTATTTTCTGAATCGATATGTGATATGTGATTTTATGATTTGGATGATTTTCAACTTTCTGGACTGCAAAGTCTCAAACTGAAAAATTCTGTTGTGAAAGTGTCAGTATTATAGATATGATGACAGTAGTGAAGTAGTGAAGATAAAATAAAACTAGCAGGTTATCTTTACTAATTAAATTTACCTTCCTTATATCTTTACTATGTTTACCTTATGTTATATTCTTACTATCTTTACTTATATCTTCCTTATATCATGAATCAAAAGATTAAAAAACCATTCCAGAAATATAAGCTTCACAATGATATGAATTTGCCAATAATATAACTTAAACAGCTTGACTGAAGAGATACACAGTAGAACCCTGATTAATTGAGGTTTTGCATTATCCAAGAGAAACCTGTAACTGAATATACTACTTTTCTTACACTGTAATTAATAAAAAAAAGTTCAAAACAGTAAAACATACTACAAAATAATTTGTTTCTATTAGCTTGTAAAATTCAACTTCAATGTGAGATAAACCATTCTATTAATTAAATGTAACTACATTTAATAGAATGGTTTATCTCACATTGAAGTTTAGTTTTGAAAAATAAAAATAAAAACTGATGTACGTATATATTAACTACATATAATAAATAATATAAAAATGTTGTTCTTATATAATGATTAAATTCAATAAAGTGTAAAAAGAGACTTAAAAGTGATGTAATAAATATTTTACATTCATAATTTTTATTCCAAAATGACCAAGGTCATCTGTTTTATCTGAGTTTTAGGTTATCTCCAAGGTAACATTGGTTCACATTATCTTAAATAATCAGGGTTCTACTTTATAAGAGATACAAAAAGATTCAGTCATTTTTGTACTAAACATCATCGTTTTAGCTATATATATAGCTAAAATGATGGTGTTTAGTATTATTATTTATTGGGTTATACTCGGTTGAAACCAATGGCTGTGTACTATAGCAACCAAAAACAAAAATTAAATATGTGTTTCAGTGTCTGTATTCAGGAATTTCCTAACAATGTGGCATGTATTCAATATATGGCCTTCTGTAGTGTGATGTATTTATTTATATTACAATTGAATAGAAATACATACATCACACTACAGGCTTTTGTGTAGTGTGTGTGGTATCACACCTGTACAGGAGAAAACAACAGGTACAATAAGCATCCTATCCATCCTCCACAGATGCCTTATTTCCTGGGCGAGTTATGTGTACTTGCTAATTTTTTCAGTGCATGTGTTTTGTACATTGTAAGTGTTTGGAACGGCTATGTCTATAATGTATGTGATTTTATTGTGTTTGTCAATGAGTGTGATGTCTGGTCTGTTGTGGTAAATTGCTTTATCTGTGATTATGGCTCTGTCGTAGTACATTTTGTGCGTGTTGTTTTCCAATACTGTCTGTGGAATGTTGGTTTCCAATACTGTCTTGTAGTATGGTTCGTGAATGTCTACCAATATGTGTTTCTTTGCAAGCTCTTGACGTATTATATTTGCTACTTGATTGTGTCTATGTAAGTAATCTGTCTGTGCCAAGAGCTTGCAACCAGANAAAATAAAACATTGATTTCGCTAAAAAAGTAGTGTAAACAATCGTCATTCCGATAACGGAGGTGCCATCATTGGGGCTAACTAGGTGAACATTCACTCTAGTTTCATAATGGAACAAGAGCCAGAAGATCACACTTTGGGCATTGGCAATAGTGCTTACCATTATGTTTCCTCAAGCAGCTCATATATATATATATATACATACATTTCATTTTAAACTATTTTTTTTTTATTTAAAAGTATTTGAATTATATAAATATAGAAAAAAATATTCATAATGCATATAAAATATTGTAATGAAAACATAAATTTAAAATATATTATTATTTTACTTTTGTCCTTGCACTTCAGTCCATGAAGCTGGAATAGTAAGACATTCATCTCCACCATGAAAAAATCTAAGCACTTCACCACCAAATACATATCCTATATTATATTTTAAAAAACTGTTAAACCTTTGTAATTCTTAATTAAAACTACATTTCTAATTTAATACTAATACAGTAGACCCCCTATAACTCGGGTTCATATAATGCGGATTCGTATATCGCGGCGAAAAAACTGCGACCGTATTCATATAAAGATGCTAAAAGAGACTCGTAAAATGCGATAAAACATCATCGCCGACTCATGTTGCGACAGGATTGTCTAATCTGGACCAATAGTGGACGAGCAGCCGAACTACTTACACACTACAAAGAGTTTAGGCGTGTAAGTTGAGTTTACTATCGTCTGTACAGTATATAAATTAGGTACTGTAAGTCTAATACAGTACTGTAATTTTATACATTTCTTGTGAAAAAAAACATTTCTTATTCAACAGCCATAAAAATTATTTCTATTAATGATGTCTAAAACGTTCAACAAATTTTTTGCAGAAAAATAACTTATCAGTAAACGCAGCCGCCATTTGGTGCACTGCTCCATGAAGAAAACAAGCTTAAACAATGGCATCATCAAATGGTGCACACTCGGTAAGTAATCCTACAATTTTTTGTTTATAGCATAGTTTATACGGATTATTCCCAAAAAATTACACGTGTTTTGGAAATGTTGAGTCAAATTAGTCTGGAATCGATTAATTTTATGTAAGAAAACCTTTCAAACAGCCGTAGTCCATAAACTGCACACGTGCCAAGCTGTGATTGGCTCATGTATTTGAGGATTCCTACAATGCAAAATTCTTATAAAGCAAAACGTATCTACCGCGTTATGAAGGGTCGACTGTATTTTAAAAATATATACAATTGCCATTGTAATTATATTATCTCTACAAAATCAAAATTTTAACATAAGATATTAAAAAAAATCCAGCAATGAGTTGCTTAACTTTCCCAGCAACAACATTTAAAACTGCATGCAGTGCCATCTGTTATATTTTATTTAAAACTTTTTATATAATTAATTATAATAAAATGGCATAAAGCTTAATTTTAAGTGTAGAGATAAGTTTTATAAAATTGTAAATGCTAATAACAAGTAAAATCTTCATTAAATCTGACCCTGCTTGAGATATGACATATAACCCTTCCCTCTATCTCTCCCTCCAATCCCCTCAACCTTTAACCACCAAAATTTACTAGCATCAATCCTTGTAATATACAAATCTTCCTGCAAAATTTCAGAAATGTTTGACAAAAATATGAGAGTTATTAAGTTTCAAAGAAGATGAACAAAGTCATGCCCCCCACACACACCCATATGGAAAAACCCCCAAATTTTTTCAATTTCTTTGTCCCAAGTCCAAAAATGTAAAAATCTTGGGGTTCATTTTTTGACTGATCACCATACTTTTCCTGTTATATATCGTATTAACACAAGATTTTTATTTATTTTTCACTGCTTCAAAAAATTAGGTTGTCCTATAAGCATGAGCAAAGGATTCTTTGCATTTTTCAATAATTTTTGTGAACCATGTATAGTTCATGCTGTCATTATAGCACAGTGCTATCGAGGTCAAGGTGAATGTCACTTTCAAAGAGACGGTCTGAAAATAGCTTTCAGGAAAGGAATGATTGGTTGCTATTTCTAACTCATTAAATACCAATCTACAGTCTATTTATGGTAAGTTGACACCTACTGTAAACAAACTAAGACACATCCCCCTTTGTTTATTGGTTTAAATCTACATCCATCAATTAGAAACTGCATTGCATCTCATTCGTCCACAGAAAATAGTTCCTTGTTATTTATAGAATCATTAATGAAATACTGATCACTTAGCAATGACTATAAATATAGTTATTTCATATTTGTTAAATTGGTATTTTTAATAAATATTTGCACATTCTAAATAATTAAAAATAAACTTTTTCCAGTCATGCAAATTATAATGTTTTGGTTTTGCTATATCAGTATCAGTTGCATGAAAAAGTATTTCCCAAGAGCTGATAGCAAGGTCATTCAAGAAATACTGCATTTCAAATTCACTCAATGGATCAGAGGATGATGCTTTGTGGAATGAGAGTGAAAAAGAGGAGAGTTGTAACAAAGCTTCAGAGAGTGAGTCCAAGTAGACTAAAGGTGATAGCATCAAGAAAACATGGTTGTTTGCCTTAATATATGCATTTGATATTTTACTTGATTAAACAAAATAAAATTAGAATTATATAAATAAATCTAATTTAATTTATTTTGATCTTTAAAGTCACATCTCGTTCTATATGCGAGGTCATCTTATACACAAGTAAATACGGTATAACAGAGTTGGAAAAGTAAAAATGCTGTATTGCATTGATATATATTTTAGAATATTCAAAATTACAGTTAAAATATAGTTCATTGTTCAATCATAATATTTCTCTTTTCAACTTATTAAAATTTCAGATTAAAAAATATCTCATTTCAATGAAATATAATATATACTGGAATTTTACAAATATAACCCACAGTTTTGATTGTATTTAAAAGTGAATTTAAAAGCAAAAGCAAATTATGCAATTATGCAGATTTTCTTCTAATTTCAACTCCAATTATTGAACTCCTCCAACAGCAACTCCTTTATCTAAATTTACAGAGTGTCTTTAGAAAATGTACAGAATCCTTTGAGAATCAAAAAACACATCCATCTGCCATCATGATTTTCCTAAAATCATCAAAGGCATATTCAAATTATATATTTCACAACTGTGCTCTATAAACATATGAAAATTTAAATACCTAAAGAAATGAAAGAGTATTCAATGATTCTAAACCTTTTAAAATCTTTAACATAAATTATAAAACAGATCTACAATATGAACTGTTCCATAGAACAGAGTTCTTTGCAACAATTCACAATATAACAAATTCAAAATATTAATAAACTAGTCTAAAACCAGTCTATTCTAGAAATTTTGGTGTTTTGTATAACTAAATTTGTAAAATATCCATCAAACTAACAGCTTATTTGATTCAATCTTTTTGTTAAATTAATACAAATTATCATTTTCAATAATCATAAAATACGTCAAAGTTATGTTAAAATTACATACCAACAGATTTAACACGACTAGATCCAGTACCAAAAGGAGCAACAGACCAATGTGTTAAATGGAAACTAGCATTAACAATTGTTTTTTCACCTTCTCGTGCTGTATGCTGAAATATTAAATGATTTATTCTATACAGAATTCACATATTTAATATAAATAAACAAAGCATAAAAAATAGTACTACATACTAGATAAAATTCATTAATAGACATTTAAATTTACCTTACTTGTTAAAGAATATATAATTAGAACTTCTTATATTGCAAATAATTTAAAATAATCAAATAAAATATTCTGATCATTTTAAATACTAATCTGATTTTTAAAACTTAAAAGATTTCTACAAGTTTGAAGTAAAAATATTTAATTAAATATCAAACTCAGCTTCTTTTAAAACACTTAATTAAACATTTAACACCTTCTATCACTGAGAATACTTTATTTAAACACAAACGTTTTCAGTCTAATGGAATAGGCCATCTTCAGGTAAACTGGTATTCGAACATACAGTAGAGCATCGTTTATCCGAAAGTCAATTTGCGTTAATGTGCCAGGTCTGGACTTTAAGAGTGCACTGAATTAAATAATGACAAAGTTTGTCAAAAAAAACAATCCAATATTTAATTAAATTTCTAGTAATAACTATATACAAAATTTAGTAAAAATCAAATAACAATTTATTCAACGTAAATCAATAAGAATCAACCCGACAAAACTCAAATCAATCCATTTTCTAACTTAATTCTATTCCCCTTTGCAATTCGACAAAATTTCAAAGAATTAACTTATGTACAATAATTCTTATGAATTAACGATCCTAATCATCACCTCAATACACTAGGAACCTATTTCCTCAACTCTCAAGACTTTCTCTATTCGTCAATCCACAAATCGAATAACTTCAAAATCACCTTGAAACTACAGGTAGGCCTCCTACAACGTGGTAGATACGTTCCTTGAAAATACCGCGTTGTGGGAAATCGCGTTATAGGAGACACCAACTTAATACAAAAACTGGGATTCGGTTCTAAAAAGAGAAGAACTTGGCGTTTGAATGGCGTTTTTTGAATTTTTCAAACCAGCCATTGCTAGCCACGAATTTAACACTGGTTTCATCAGCTGACGACTGTCCCATTTGTTTTAAATAATCAAATACAGTAGAACCTCGATTATCCGGACTAATTGGGGATGAAAGTAGTCCGGATAAGGAAAAATCCGGATAATCGAAACAAATACTTTAATTTGTCTTTTAATGATAACACAACACGTTTACTTTTTGATGACATATCGGTAATATTAAAAGTAAATACTGTATTTAAATCATGATCAAATTTTCAAGAAACAAACGTTCGTATTGAATTTGGACTACTACTGACCAACGCTAACAGACTACCTATTGTTTAAAAGGCCCTCTGGTGGCGCAAGAAGACAGATTTTATAAAATAAAAAGCAGTTGAAACTGCATTTTTATGAATACAAATTTGACAAACTATTTATCGTTTTATGACGAGTAAAATTTTTCCGTCGCGTTTGCGGCTTTTAAGTAATGCATAAACCTTCGAGGCGCGAGGCCCTTCGGACCGCGAGGCATAGGCGGTGGCCCACGTCATCCATGCCTTACGCCGCCCTTGGTCATAGAAATGATGTAATTTGAATATAAATTATTTATAAATACGTATGTCAAGTTATATTTTTATTACTACGTAAAATATATTTAAGAGTTTACGACCACTGTGCCGGGTGAGACGTTGTTGAAACAAAAAAAGTTATGCATTGCATCATGTACATAAACAGTGTCATAATTCGCCAAGTGCAAATCAGCAAATTCATAAAATTTTTGTTTATTTTGAACAATCTGGATAATTGAAAATCCGGATAATGGAGGTCCGGATAATGGAGGTTCTACTATATTTTTAAGGCTTTATGTTTAAGTGAGGTTTTATTTAAAGGCAACCATTTCTTGTTCATATCTTCTACCCATAATATTAGTGCTTGTTCCATTTTTTCCATTATAGGTGCTCTCGGATGAGCAACATTTTTCACAAGAATAGATGATCTGGATGCGACCAAATTTCTAATCTTTTCTCCCGATTGCTTAATCGACCGAATAGTCGACTCATTTAAATTAAAATGCCTACTAATATCAGCTATCCGCTCTTGATTTTTAATTCGATCCAAAATTTCTATCTTTGAAGAGTTATAAATTTCCTTTTTAACGNGGATGCGACCAAATTTCTAATCTTTTCTCCCGATTGCTTAATCGACCGAATAGTCGACTCATTTAAATTAAAATGCCTACTAATATCAGCTATCCGCTCTTGATTTTTTAATTCGATCCAAAATTTCTATCTTTGAAGAGTTATAAATTTCCTTTTTAACGACGGTCCTTTCTTTTCATTCGGCATTGTTATGGCTAAAATTTTTTCAATCAGTTTTGTGAACAGTAAAAATCGCAAAAAATAACTTCCTTTCACTATGTTGTTAAAAATATACACCCATTAGAAGTTTATACTGTATTTTGGACCATTTCTGCGGTCCTCACTTATTGAAAGAGTATAAATGTTCAAAAATTTAGTGATATATTTGAGTGTTTACGGTAACTGATGCACATCTGTCTAGAAACCGGTCTTTCCCTGAAACTTTCAAGGGAATAACATGCCAACGTCGACAAACAGCTGTTTTCAAAGACTTTTAGCTCAGTATGCCGAACTGCAGCTCGTATCACGTGATTCGTTGCGATTTTTCTGTTATGTGAATATAATTCGTTTCTAAATATGGTAAACCGCATTGTAAAAGTACCGTGTTGTAAGAAAAATTCCGCATTTTTCCAACTGCGTTGTAAAGGTACCGCGTTGTAGGAGGCCTACCTGTACTTTATCCTATCGGACACCTCTCTCTTGTTTGCTGCTATGAAGCTCACCACGCTCGTTGCTATCAGAAGCTCACCTTGGTCATCTTGACTTGAGGTTTGGTCTTTATACTGTGAGGTGACGTCACAATTCTGAGTGAGATCACTCCCCTCATTTACATACTTATTACTAACAATAAATTTTTCTTGTTTGCCTGGCAGTCTATTTTCCGACAATACTTGCTAACCTTTTACATTATTCTTTTTGACAATTTTTGGGATGTTTTATTCTTTAAGGTTTAGCAAGTTGTGCTTGTGGGGTCTCCCCCTCTTTCTCGGTGCAGACTTACTTTTTTTTGCTCAGGAGCGTAAATGTGTGCGAGTTTTTCTACGGCACTTTTCTCTTGTTGGTGAGTTGGTTTCTCTTCTATTTTTAAGTTTCTAAAGGTGAGTGGTGAGGAAACCTTCGTCCTAACAAAACATAAGCCCCAAACAAAAATAGAATAAAAGCAAAAATAAAAGTAACTAAAAATAACGCTCGGACTTGGTTCCTTACACCCATATAATAAAAACATCAAGATCATCACAAAGCAAGTTTCAGACAAAAAACACTTCAAAATTGTTTAAAAAAGAGCTCCTAATTTGTATAATATTCTCAGAAACGACAAGGACAAGCTTAAGAAAGAAGAAACAGCGGGCATGTATAAAATTCCATTTGAAAACCAACAGCTAGGAATTAAGAAGTACTAGGTTGAAGTCACAAGAAGGAATTTAGCTATTAATATTAGGCTTAAAGAACACAAATATGACATTAATAAAGAACACTGTAACACGGTTTTGTCAAGTATGACACAAGCGGAAGCTTCTGAAGTTAAACGGAATGAAGCAACTATTCTCAAGACCATGCAGTCCCTATCATTGGCTTTGCAACATGAAGAGATTGAAATCTATAAAAGTAAATTAAGGGATGGTTGTATCAATGCAAGGGATTCAGATGGATTAGCTTCTGCATGGAAGTTCTTCATAAAATAAAAATATACAAATTCTTAGTCCCTGTCTGCCATTATATTGGGATGCCTTTTTATGTATTTTTTTATCCATTTAATTTTTATGTATTTATTTTATTTATATATTTTTTTTCGTTTTATTTTATTAATATTATTTATATTGTTATGGCTTCAATGTATTTAGTATATTTATTTTTTTGGTTATTGATTTGTTAGTTTTATTTTTCGTTTTAATTTTGAATTTGTAATGATTGAATGTTCCATTTAATACAATTTTGAAATATGTTCTAATACCAGTTTACCTGAAGATGGCCTATTCCATTCGGCTGAAAACATTTGTGTTTAAATAAAGTATTCTCAGCGATAGAAAGTGTTAAATGTTTTATTAAGTGTAAAAATATTTAATAAAAAATTCTTTTGCTATTTATCTTAAAGATAATATTTAGAAAACTTCATTAATTTTGAAAGATAAAAATCATATCAAAAGTTTCAAAATTTCAAAACATAATATATCAAAGTTTCATAATTTATATCATATATTATCCTATGTTTAAAATATGCATATACTTGGCATAAATAGATGGTATCTAAGATGATGTGTTCCAAAGAATTTTATATATTTTTTGAGCTTTTAACTATGAAGTTTTAAATCTAATATGTCTATAAAATTAGACAATAGCTGCATTAGTTTCATATATATACTGTGTTTCCCCGAAAATAAGACAACCGCAGAAAATAAGACCTAGCACAGATTTTGCTGAATTGCGAAATATAAGACCTCCCCCTGAAAGTAAGACCTAGCGAAGTTTTTTTTTAGTCGTAATGGTCATCGACAGATGGTTGAAAGTGGCCGTTGGCTTTTTGAAAGTACACCCACTGATTGGTCAGCAGACAATTACGCCACACAGCATGATTTGCATAAGACTATGGCTTGGGAATCACAGATTTGCATAACGTTACGGCTGGTGATGGCTAATTGGTCGGCCGGGAATCACGCCACATGACATTTGCATAGTGCTACGGTTCAGTAAGCACTAATTGGTCATCGAGTCCGATGTTGACGCTATAAAAAGGCGACAGTTCGACACACCGGATATACGTCACTCTCGTCTAAGTTCGACTTGGGAATTTTTTTGTTCAATAATAAATGTGAATTCTTCTTCCTGGAAAAAATAAGACATTCCCTGAAAATAAGACCTAGCGCATTTTTCAGAGCAAAAATTAATATAAGACACTGTCTTATTTTTGAAGAAACACGGTATATCTATATATAACTTTTATATATAAGTTTTATAGAGTTTTATATATATGTAACTCTCTTCTACCCAGATACTAAGAAATCTTTTATATCAAATACATTACATTCAGCCAAGTTTCAATAGGCTAGCCAAATGATAAGAAATGGAGCCCACATTCAAACTAGACCATCAATAAAAATTCCAGAAAATCTAATCAACTCAAATCTGCATTTGTCAACATGGTAGGCTTTCCAATAGCTATTCCAATTATTTAAAGCAATATAAAATGTCATATCTGGCAAAATATTATCTTTTATAATCAAATTAATTATATTAATAAATCCATATGTAAACAAAACTGAAGAAATTAGGATTATCATATACTAAATAATGAAAAGTAATTAAAATAAATCGTTTTATGCAGTTGACAAATACATGACAATAATAAAACACTAATGAATCTGTAAATCAATGTAGACACTAAATATAAAAAATACATTGGATGTAAAATATTTAAAATTTTTTACATACCAAGTAACGCTCAGTGGCAACACTAACTAAAATTAAATCATCCCCAACTCTGACTTTTTCACCTTCAGATCTTTGTTTGGATGCAGGATGAATGGTCCACCAACATGCTTCTCCTAATATCGTAAAAATAAAGTTATATCATGTTATGTAAAAATATATTTTTTAAAATATATATGCCATAATGATGTAATGATCAAATGAGGACTAGAAATTGTTAAATAAATTATCTAATCAAATATGTATATTTGACAATCTGTCTGACTCAAATATACATATTTGAATCAGACAAATAGCTTCATTTGCATTAGAAACAGTATATATGAAAACTAAGATTCAGAAAAGTATTTTTATATTAACATCTGGTAGTTTATCTATAGTTGTTTATTATTCTATTAAATTGTTCAGGGAACCTTTTAATATCTTCTCCACATTCAATACTTGCATTCATAATTGAATAATTCATAATCACTATTTTTCCATATATATGTTTTTTTATTTTTTGAAGTTTCCAGAACGAATTAATCAAATTTCCATAAAAACCTATGGTGAATCGATAATCGGTTAACGAACAATTCAGATAGCGAACAAAGTCTTGGAACGGATTATGTTCGTTAACTGATCACCCACTGTATTTGCTTTTCTTTTTCTGATCTCATGAATTTTCCCATTTAGCAAATTTCTGTCATTCCAACACATGGAAAGCAAAAATTTTTGATGTTTTGTACTATGAACCAATTTCCCTAAGCAAATAAAATTTGCTTTTGGTTCTCATTCATTTTCACTATTTGCTGTCAGTATGAGCTAATCTTTAGAATGACTGTTCATTCTTTCATGTGACTGGAGTTTTGGCAGAAAGAGAGAACTGATATCATATACTGTACCAGTATATGCAAGTTCATCAAAGAAAACGACAAAACTTGATAAATTTTTCAAAAGTGCATGATTTAATTTTTTACTATTTTTACTTTATGTGAAATCCGTGATTTTTACGTCGATGTCGGNAACAACAAACTTACATAGTTTCATAAAAAAAATCTAATAAATTAAAAAGCTATCATTGTTTTTTGTAATGCATATCCTTCAGTGCATAACATTGGTAATTTTGATCTTTACCTAGGAGGTACAATTTATGTTTCCAGTGCATTTTTTTCTTTTGTTTTCAGTTTGATTCTGATTTCAGTTTTGATATATATCAAAAGTTTTCATTTCAGTTTACAAAATTTACATACACACAATTTTTTCATGCTTTCTTTGTGCTTGCATTAGAATCTTCTATTTTCATTTCACCTTGATAATTTTTTCTCAAAAGTAAGCTGTAGAAATTGTTTTTAATTTTTATACCATTACTTTTACTTCACAATGAAATTCGTAATAAAAATAAAATAAGCAGATCCTATAACAACTGTGCTGTAAACGGCTAGCCTATTAAAAACAACTATATGCTATGATCAACTGCTTCAATAGATCAAAGATATTCCTAGTAGGAAAGTTCTAAAGATAAACCAGACAAGCCTTCTGAACAAAGAAATATGAATATGATTCAAGAATTTGAGTTATTGAAACAGTCATCAAGCAGTGAGTACTTTTCAGTGATTTTGATATCAATGAAAACTAGCATCAACCAAATCAACTGTCTTGAAATAACTCCTTTTAAAGTGAGAAAAGCCTAGCAACATCCAGAGCTATTTTCCATAGCATCCCACTTGAATGTCAAAACCCAAATATGATATAGCAACTAAAACTCCTACAAAATCTTAGAATATATTTAATTCATCTAAAATGCTAAATGAAATTATCCTATGCACAAACTGTAAAGGAAGAAAACTATCTAAAGAAAAAGGATTTCAGTGTCAAGACATTGGGTTAAATCAGGGGTCGCCAAAGTGGTCTATATCAACCCCCAGGGGTCGATGCAACACCATTGGGGGGGTTGATGCGGCTAAGGGGTCACAACCTTTTTTTTGTTTTTTTTTTTTTTTTTTGCTTATACAGAGACCACAACATTTTTTTTTTCTTTTTTGCTCATACACATACACTTGTAATAAAACTTTACGGTGGGGGTCAATGTGAGGCTTTGGAAAGTGGTTGGGGGCAGGGCCGGATCATCGCATAGACAAATGAGACAAATGTCTAGGGCCCAGTTTTTAGAAGGGCCTGGTCAAACTGTCTATTTTGAAAAGATTTGTAAATAAAATAGTTTACTTTTCTGTTGGACAACAGTATATAATAAACAAATAAACAAAAATATATTGTTTTTATATGGTTATTGTGAATTCTAAAATCTAAAGAAAATGTACGTGGGTTGTTCAAAAAGTTCCCGAACTTTTTGAATAGAGTGCCTCCAGTTGGTTATTTTTTAATTCGCTTTGAGGCGTTGTGTCCGCGGAAACCTCCCGAGTAACCTCCTTTAACCCGTTTCTTGATATCTTGTTTTGGTGAAAGCTCGACAAGTTCGTTCAAATGTTAAGGTGATGTTGACTGTTTTTTTCGATACAAAGGGGGTTGTGCATCACGAATACCTACCTACAGGCCAGACAGTCAACACGGAGTACTACCTGGTGTTATGAATCACCTAAGAGACAAAATCAAGTGAAAACAGCCCGAACTTTGGAGGAGTGGCGAGTGGTTCTTTCACCACGACAACGCGCCGGCTCATTTGTCCCTCAGAACACATGAGTTTTTGGCCAAAAACAAGACCGCTGTGCTTCCCCACCCACCCTACTCACCTGACCTGGTCTCATGCGACTTTTTCCTGTTCTCCAACAAACTAAAAAACGCGCTCAAAGGAAAAACATTTGCCATCATTCCAGAGATAGAAAAAAAACGACGGAGGAGCTTATGAGCATTACGGAAAAAGCGTTCCAGGACTATTTCAAAAAGTGGAAGTGTATATGCTGCGGAGGAGACTACTTTGAAGGGGACCCCGACAAATAAATTGTATGTGAAGTATTTTTTTTTGTAATAAATAAAGTTCGGGAACTTTTTGAACAACCCTCGTATTCTTATGTTTCTTCTTATTGAAAGTAAAACTCCCAATAATCTAGAATATTCTTTATAGCGATAAGAATAATATTAACTATATGTGTTCTTAAATATCCTGTGAAATATTGTTAAATAATTTTGCTTTTATTTTTTATAAAGCAGCTGCAGTGTCCATATGCAATTTAATAGAAATAATAGTAACTGAAAGAGCCGGAAGGGAACCCGGAAGAAGAAAATCTCTAGGGCCCCAAAGTGGGTTAATCCAGCCCTGGTTGGGGGTCGACGGTTAAAAAAGTTTGGCGACCCCTGGGTCGCCAAACTTTTTAACCGTTTGTGTATGTGTTTAGTTCATTTGAACTAAACACATACACAAGTTGCTGAAGTTGAGGAAAATTGGAATGTTCTAATTGTTAACTGTTTCTTAAGATATCAAATCCAATATATCATGCAACATGTCTGTAGGAAGATTTGAAAGAAGTTGGAGATGTCTTTGATTTGATGACTGAAGACGTTCTATTCTTCTTCTATTTGATAAATTGGCAGCATTTTTCACATATCTGTAATTGTTTTATATAAAACTATCAGGAACATTTGGCTCTAGATAAATGTGTTATGACTGAACAGTTGGTTTCATTGTTGTTGAAACAGTTTGTCTCAATTTGTGTTATTTTATAACTTAGATCAAGGGTTCCCGAACTTTTTGAAGCCACAATCCCCATTTTGACAAGGTTTTTGCTTGTGTCCCCCTACTACTTTGTCTTTTCTTTCCTATTCTTATTTCCCTCTCTCTGTAATTATGATATCATTAAAAACTTTGTATCTCTGCCATCAAAACAAAAGCAAGAAATTGCCTTGGACTTGAAAATGGTTTAATTGTATGTGTTTCAAATACAGTGTCTAGATTTGAAAAAGTAGTTACTGAAAAACAAACACACGGTTCTCGCTAATTTTTTGTTTTAAATATAAAATAAATATACGTAAGTACAACTGTTTAAAGGTAACAAGAGATTTTACATGTTTTATTAAACCTCTTGTTACCCTCTGGGGAATTGCAACCCACACTTTTGTACCCATAGACTTAGATGGTCCATTCAGGTAATACACGAAAAGCAAGTCTGCAAAATATAAAAGTATTTTGGGTGTGCAACTCTGAGACTAGTTAGACATGTGATGACATTGTTTACATAGGAAACTTGCTGATTCAGATCCACATCGAAATATGGGTTTTGACATGATGAACATGTTAAGTCATTCAATACTGAAAGCAGTTGAAATATTACGGGTGCTAATTTATTTGCAAGCATTGTCATTGCCAAACATCTAAAAGAACTAAAACTAACAATTTTTGGACCACAAGGCAAAACAAGCCAGATATTCCATTGTGTTTCAAGATACTGAAAGACAGGCTAATTTATCCTTCAATGATGGTCTAAAGCTACTTAGTTTATGTTCCAAAAAAAAAAAAAAAAATCATTGTGTTTCTAGGCAAAATGTATCAGAAAAGCCAAAAATGCAAAAAATTACAACATAAATTTAAAAAGTACAATGTAATTTCTGACTTTTTTAAAAAAAAAAAAAAAAGCTAGAAATCATATTGTATGACTGTACGCCATATTATGTTTTTGTCCTTTTGTTGTTCTTACATTTTTCTGTTCTTTGTTGCAGCACATTAAATATAAGGTTACCTGAGAGCATACAAGGTAAAGAAAGATCACTTTTTGAGCTGGTGCTCAAAGAGAGAGGACAACAAAAGAAGAAAGACCTTACAGTATCTAGTGCATGAGTAGATAGGTGAATTCATAACTTCAAGTCGGAATCTTGAAATTCATGGGCCAAAGTTAGTGTGTTAGAGTCAGAATTCAACTTAACCAGTTCCAAGTTTCAAACAAGTGACCAACAATTTGGATACAAGAAAAACTCTCAGGATTCAATGAAAAGAAGATTGAAGAATGAATTGTGTGCAAGAAGTTTCCATATAGCCCTTCACAACAAAAGATAGATGTTTGTATGACCCAGGTACATTTGTTTTGTCCTATCTGCCTTCTTTGCTACTCCTTGCCCCCTATCTTCAATTTTCCTTTCTTAGTGTTAGTATTAAGGATCAGTGATAAGGAAATCTTTTTGTAATAAGTAGTCTCAATTCTTTTGTATGAATCACATTATTTTTGTAATTGTTCCACTGACAATTGGGTTTAGGATGACTGCTGGATAAACCGCCCTAGAGTTGGAATCCATTTGAACCTGTATATAAAATCATATCATGCATAAATAAATTTAATTTTCTATCATCTACTGCATGTGTTTCTTTTTTGGATGTTTGCCTTAGTCAGCTAATGGAAACCCTTTCTTGAATATCACAATTGTATTATAAGTGTTGACATGATGGATACATGTATCAGAACATAGACTATAAAAGACAAGTCAATGACAGCTCAATACAATGGAATAATGTGTTAATATTGCCACATTCAATGCTTATATTATTAAAATAAAATTAACCTAAAATACTTTAGAGAAGCTAGTCATGTCAGAAGATTTTTCCTTTTAACATTTGCCAAAGAGCACACATGCAGAAATAAAAAACACTAGACTTAACAAAGCAAAACCTTAGACATAGAAATGTTTGGAATAAAAACAGAAATAAACTTCCAAACTGTATCCATTTTGTCAAAGAGAGTAACAAAAAGAAAAAGATATACTATCTACACAACATCAAACAACCGAAAATGCCTAACCATGTGCTCATAATACAATTGTTTTCTTTTTGCAATTGTTATGTAGTTTTACATTAAAAATGTACAATATAAAAATTATAACATTAGCAAATTTCAAAATCAATCAATACTTTGTCTTTTTAATGTATATTTAATTATCATTAAACCTATTTTAGCTAAAATCAAATTTGTTGAAACTTTATTGTAAGTTCAGAATGACAATCGTGTACTTTAATAATCAGAATTACATCAGTGCAGTCAAGGGTTAAAATGAAACAATGGAAATATGTAGTGTAATAAAACTATGGAGACAAGAGAAGATAAAGTTCATTTAGATATTAAAATTTTTACCTTGACAATGTTCTTGAAGACCAACATCAAATGCTAATTTATCATTTGATGAGCTCGTTGATAAACATGCTAAATACTGAAAATAAAAGAAAATGTAATGAAAATGAAAATAAATCATAAGTTAATAATCAGATATTAAACCAACATTGCTATCTCTGGCCATATTATTTAGACAGTTAAATGACTTCTGAATAATATGGACTACAAATCACTGATTACATATTTAGTAACATTAAAATTTTTTATTTTGTATAATTGTTATTTTAATTAAAAATTATTACAGTAATACCTCGACTTACACTACCCTGACTTATGCAAACCCAGAGTTACGCAATTTTCAAATCTTGCTGATTCGTCTTTTGTTTGAGCGCCACACAACTCTTAATTACTCACTCCCCTCACACTACTGTTCAGCTTACATGTTCAGAAATGTCACGTGGAATCAACGTATAGCTACAATTTATTTTGTGTTATTTATTTCTGTGTTTGTTTTATCTATGGAGACTTGAGAGACTCTACTATGTCATTCAAACAAAGTAGAACTGATTCTTCTGCATCAAACAAGAAAAGAAAAACTTTATCTTTGGAATGTAAGTTAACATTATTAAAGACTTCAATACAAAAATGAAAATTTGTGAATTGGCAAAGAAGTTTGATCTACCAGAATTGTCGGTCAGAACAATTATAAAAGGTAAAGAAAAAATTCTCGAAGCTGCGAAAAATGCTCAATCTTTAAATTCAAGCATCATCCATAAACGTCACAGTATTATCGCTGAGATGGAAACAATGTTAAAATTATGGTGTGATAAACAAGTAATTGTGAAAAATTTTATAATAATATAATATGTTATAAATATGTATTATCTAAGATTTTATTAAACATTTTTTTCTAAATTATTGCTTTTTTTAGTCTCCGGCCACAATTAAAAATTATTTGTATGTATTTATATGCAAAATTATACCCCGACTTACGTGGTTATCGCTTGGTCCCACCTATCGCGTAAGTTCGGGGTATTACTGTATTTCATAATATATTTAAAAACTTTGTAAAAATTATATTTTATGACAGTTAAAAATTAACAAATATAAAAAATACAAATAATATCCCAAATTTATAGTAAATCAAATAACCAGATTTTTATACACTATTTAAAGCTATGTTTTATAATTTATATTTTACAATAGCAGAGATTACATTTAGAAAAATGATTTGAATATTCTAATATAATCAAATAACATAAAACATAATAATTAATGCCAAAATTTCAATCTATGAAATTTTATGCTTTTTGTAATTAGAGTCTATTTTTAGCAGAAAATAATTAAAAATTAATTTTACAAATTTTATAAAATAAATACAAATACTCAAAAAATATATTTTTTAAATATCTTTATTTATTTACTTTTGAATTTTTAAATTTTATATTTATTTTTTAAGTCAGATTGGCAGTTGGCATTCTACAGAATATAACTCTAACATGTTCAATGATGTTATGAACATCAAATTATGCTAGCACTAGAATAAGTATACTTTATGTATTTTATTAAATTTGCTTTCAGTTATGAATATAATTCCCTTAATACAAATTTAACATAATTAAATGTTTTAGAATACATGAATACAATATTGTAAACTAAGATTTCTAAATAAATAAAACTATCTTTTATCTGAGCTGAAATTTAAAAAAATTTACCATATTACTGTTTTGATGGCGTAAAAGTACTGCATGTCCATAAAGGAGAGTTCTATGACCACCACCTGTGCCTTTACCCTTATAATAAAAATTGTAACAGTTTTCTTAATTTTATATTTAACAAGATAAATTTTAACTTTTTAAAATCTCATTTATATTTTTATTAATTATTATTAAAACTCAATATTTACTTTTTCTGAACCAGCAGCAGTCACCATTTCTTGCAATGCTCTAACTGATAGTGCTTGTTCAATAACAAATACACAGGATGACATTTCAGGAGGAAAATTCTACAAATTAAAAATTTAAAAAAATGCATTTATTTAAACATTTAAATATGATTTTTTATATAAATTTAAGAAATAAATATCTGAATAAAATTATTTTAATAAGNAAAAGAAATCAAAATTATTTGACCCTCCATGCCTCATAGACTGAAGTTTATGTTAAGATTAAAAAACTTCGCTTAAATCTTAATGTAAACATCACAGCGCTTGTTTTTAGAATATGTCATTGTCCATATTTATTTAGCAATGGCATTTGAATTTTTAATTAATTTTAACTTCTAACCAGTGCTCTAAGTCATAAATTCAGCAGATATATACATGATTTTGACAAGATTTTCTTCAGTGTTTAAAATTAGTATTAGCAAGAAGAAAATAAGCATTTGCATTGCTTATTAAAAAAACTGACTGTTAGTTTGCTTATTTGAAATGAAAAAAAAAAGTAATGTTTATCTTTATTCATTATTTTTAGATGTATTTTGTTAAAACCAAAAGTTATTGTATAAAGAGGATATATATTTCTGTAAGAAAAAAAACACAGGATATACACCATACACCTTTCATTATAGTCCTGCCTCTAACTGAATTCATTTTTTTTTTCTTTTTTTTGAAATTGCTTCTCATAAGAAACAGAGTTTACTTTAGATATTTAGTTTAAATTTAATTTCACAATTTAATTGCATGAATCATGTAAACCACATACAGCATATTTATTGTAAATAGTAATTTCAAAATATTTGTTTTTCATAATCTCAGGAAAGCTATTTATAATAATAAGAACACACCTGAATTCTATTTTCTAAGTTTTTTCTCTTTATTCAAACATTTTCAGCCTATTTGGATAGGCCATCCTCAGGTTTTCATTTATCATTCCAAAATGGAACCATTCGTTCAAATTTTATTTTGATTTGAATTTTTGAAATGTGTTAACAACTTTTTGTATATTACATAAATAAACAAAATAAATAAAAATAAAATATGTCATTAAATGTGTTACATATTATCAAAAATTAAACAACAAATTTTACATGCATCTAAAATATAATAACTTCTTATAACCTCCAGTTCCTATTTTATGAATTATTGAAACCCATACATTTTTCTATTTTGTATTTCCATGCTGTTGGTAATGTATTTGCATCCTTTGCATTTAAACAGCGGTTCCTCATTTTACTTTTGTATATCTCTATTTTTCCATTTCCATCGCAATGGATGGTGAGTGAACCATTCTTATGATCTTCGCTTCATCCCATTTGACTATTGCTCTGTCTGACTGTGCCATGCTTGTCACTATCATGCTATTGAGTTCTTTATTAACACTGTATTTGTGCTCTTTTACACGTACTGCAAGGTTTCTTCTGGTCACCCCTACATATTCTTTATCGACTCCTATTTGTTGGTTTTCATACGGGATAGTGTACACGCCCCTCTTGCTCTTCCATTCTTATTTTGTCCTTATTGTTCCTTAATAATCTATATATGTTGGGTGCTCATTTGTAAATTATCTTTGTGTTTTTGTATTTTCCTAGCTCATCCACTACTTTTCTTGTTTGTTCACTGTATGTGAACTTGTTGAATGCAGTTGTGTTGTTGTGTGTTGTAGTCGTAGTTTTTTGTTTACCATAACTTCTGATAAGACCTCTGATTGTGGATGTTTTGTATCCTGAACTCCTTGCTACCTTTTGTATTCTATCCATTTCCTTGTTATGGTCTTGCACATTTGTGCAGTACAAGAAGGTCCTCTTGATAAGTGCCTTAAATGCAGACAGTTTATATCTATACAGGTCCTTCGACCATGAAGTTATGTATAACGGAGCATGTAGGGGTTTCAAATATACTGCCGTTCGTATATTTCCTAGTTTAAATTCCAAAAAAAACCTCCATTTTTTGGACATTGACATGGAATTTGCAAAAATTACAATTCATAAAAACCTTAAAATCATTAGTCATATAATCAAAGATCTTTTCATCTTACTCAAATAATATTTAAGCTCAAACTTTTTTGATTTCACGTATCAAAAACAAATGCAATAATATTATAGAAATGCAGAATTTGACTGTATGTAGGTGCAGTGAAGCACTTGATGCATTAATTAAAAGCCTGTGACTCATTAATCAGGTTTTATTTATTACTGTAAAAGATAAGAAAGCACAGTACTAATGTTGATAATGAGATAGCTCAATAACAAACCTACAGAAAATTGCTGACAATCATTATGTAAAAGATTCATAATTTCTGGAACTAGTACTCTCTGAAATTGATTTTGATTAATCAATTTTTCAGATAATTGACTTTCATATAATCAATGCTGTAATGTATTGGGATTTAAGTATCTCTTTGTAATGTATTGGGATTTAAGTATCTCTTTGTAGCATTATATTCAAATATTTTGTCACTTTATTCCTGTACAGTTACAGATGGATTAAAATTGATGTAACATCAAAACTAGAATTTTCAGGAGAAATTCAGATTGAAATTTTAAAGTTCTATTTGATATATTCTTCATATCTTCATAACAAAAGCATTTGCCTTTTTTCAGTCCTAATTTTTCCTTCATTTTAATATTAGAAAATTTTTTGAAGCCTATTAAGTAATGAATTTAATAATCATTTTTATTTTTATTATATTTAAAATTATCATTATTTTATATTAAAAATCAGTTGTTATTGTTGTTACATGTTTTTTTTGTTTGTAAAATAAAATTTCTACTTGGTTTTCATTTTGCATGTTTTTCATTTACTTTTTAACTTATAAAATCTTTTTTGGTGTACAAAAAGTTTGATATTGTTAGAAATATGATTAGTTGGCATGCATTTCAGAACAATTTGATATGATAGACCAGTTTGTGTAAAAATTGATGTTACAGTGGATATAAGTTAAAATCAAATTATTGTATTTACTACTCACTTATATTTTCTTATTTCTGAACATATTAAATTTAGGAATTAATTTGTTATACTAAGCTGCTATATAGGATTTTCATTCTTAATTATTAATTTGTGCATTCCAAGTTTAAAAATAATAATAAACTTGGAATGCACAAATTAATAATTAAGAATGAAAATCCTATATAGCAGCTTAGTATAACAAATTAATTCCTAAATTTAATATGTTCAGAAATAAGAAAATATAAGTGAGTAGTAAATACAATAATTTGATTTTACACTGTAACATCAATTTTTACACAAACTGGTCTATCATATCAAATTGTTCTGAAATGCATGCCAACTAATCATATTTCTAACAATATCAAACTTTTTGTACACCAAAAAAGATTTTATAAGTTAAAAAATAAATGAAAACATGCATTATAAAAATGACTAGAGTTCATTAGAACTTAATAGCAGATATCAAACTTCAAGTAAAAAAAAAAAAAAATACTCATAATAAATATGAGTCTAAAAATAAATTTATAAATCATGCTCAGCAAATTCATAGCAAAGAACAGAACATACATGTAAACTTAACATATTTTTCAAAGATAAACATTGTATCATTAATAACATATTACAAGAAAACAAACAAGTCAGATATTTTAAATTAAAATTCAATTTTACATTTTTATATTTTAAAAAATGAAACTTTACCTTATCTGCAATGTTTTCAAGATAGCAATTGCGGTTTCCAAAACCCTCTGCACCTAAACAAACTCTCTATTTTTCCATTTCCATCGCAATGGATGGTGAGTGAACCATTCTTATGATCTTCACTTCATCCCATTTGACTATTGCTCTGTCTGACTGTGCCATGCTTGTCACTATCATGCTATTGAGTTCTTTATTAACACTGTATTTGTGCTCTTTTACACGTACTGCAAGGTTTCTTCTGGTCACCCCTACATATTCTTTATCGACTCCTATTTGTTGGTTTTCATACGGGATAGTGTACACGCCCCTCTTGCTCTTCCATTCTTATTTTGTCCTTATTGTTCCTTAATAATCTATATATGTTGGGTGCTCATTTGTAAATTATCTTTGTGTTTTTGTATTTTCCTAGCTCATCCACTACTTTTCTTGTTTGTTCATTGTATGTGAACTTGTTGAATGCAGTTGTGTTGTTATGTGCTGTAGTCGTAGTTTTTTGTTTACCATAACTTCTGATAAGACCTCTGATTGTGGATGTTTTGTATCCTGAACTCCTTGCTACCTTTTGTATTCTATCCATTTCCTTGTTATGGTCTTGCACATTTGTGCAGTACAAGAAGGTCCTCTTGATAAGTGCCTTAAATGCAGACAGTTTATATCTATACAGGTCCTTCGACCATGAAGTTATGTATAACGGAGCATGTAGGGGTTTCAAATATACTGCCGTTCGTATATTTCCTAGTTTAAATTCCAAAAAAAACCTCCATTTTTTGGACATTGACATGGAATTTGCAAAAATTACAATTCATAAAAACCTTAAAATCATTAGTCATATAATCAAAGATCTTTTCATCTTACTCAAATAATATTTAAGCTCAAACTTTTTTGATTTCACGTATCAAAAACAAATGCAATAATATTATAGAAATGCAGAATTTGACTGTATGTAGGTGCAGTGAAGCACTTGATGCATTAATTAAAAGCCTGTGACTCATTAATCAGGTTTTATTTATTACTGTAAAAGATAAGAAAGCACAGTACTAATGTTGATAATGAGATAGCTCAATAACAAACCTACAGAAAATTGCTGACAATCATTATGTAAAAGATTCATAATTTCTGGAACTAGTACTCTCTGAAATTGATTTTGATTAATCAATTTTTCAGATAATTGACTTTCATATAATCAATGCTGTAATGTATTGGGATTT